CTTAAGACTTTTGTGGTATCCTGAATTAACCAGGTGTTCTTTGAAACGAGTTTTAATAGCTCGTCTAGACTGACCAAAATATGTTTTGTAACAGTTCTACGACTCTCAGTTTCCGTCATATTGTTTCAAGAGTTGCCAAAGACTTGTTGAAGTGAACATAATACTTTGAAAGCTACTTTAATATTCAGTTACTGTTACAAAAAGTATATTGTTCAGACCAAACGAGCTATTAACATGTACACCAAAGCATTCAAAACTTTGAAATTTATTTGTGTATAACCACTAAAAGTTCAATTTTATCCTTTCAGATGTTTATAAGCACAGTTAGAGGTAAGAATTAGTATAGTTGACGCTAATTTGGTGTAACGTACACTCTTGCATCCTCGGTGTTCATTTGAGTAGAATTTTGTGACGGTTACTTAGCTCCTTAGTTGAAAGTCAAAACCTGTCTTTCCCAACTCCTTAAGACATAATTTATTTGAATATTCAGATCGCTTGACGTCGTAGATATTGAATAATTTGTTTTTATGTTTATGTTCACTTTTATTTTTTGCTGTAATCTATTTTTATATCAATAGAAGAAATTATATATCATTGGGGTACCTATCTATATAAACTTTTAAATTTCAAACAATGTTCAGCCTATCGATTGCAGTTGTGAAATATTGGAAAACTTTTCAATCTATGTGCGTGTTGGATAAATAATAATTGTATTGTTGCTATATCATTCAAACTGTAGACTGTAAAACGGCCATTCCACGTTTCATAGCTGAAGGGAGTTTCGAATGAAAGGTAGAATCGGAACCACTGTAGTGGGTTAGAATGATTAAAACAAAACCCTCACCAGAACTGTCAACACTTTTCTCGGCATACATTTCATCAATGAAGTTAGCGTCAGCAGATTATTCAGAATTGAATGAATAAGTTTGCTGCTCCTGATCTAACGCTAGGATTTACGAGTAGTAACCAGGATTACCCAGAACAGGCATAATTAACAAGAGCACTCTACAACCTTGACACTTTATAAAATAAAACGTCCATTATCCTCATTATTTTACTTATTTAACACAATTTGTTTCTCGATTACACTCGAAGAGTTTTTGGCCATTTTAACCACGAAGGAACAGGTTTTTGATAAAGACCTCTAGAGAAGTCTTTTCAACCACATTGAATGGGCAATTTGGGACAGTTAGCTGGTCTTGCTGGACCAAATTGTATCCAAGAAACAACTTATCGCATCAGTACATCCCTACGACACGCAAAACTCTACTAAATGTCAGACTGGTAATTAAAAACAAAAGTGAATGAACAATGAACTCGAGTACGTGACTCGCAAAGTGTCAAAAGTTGTAGGATACCCGTACTTATTACTATTTATCTAACGGTATGCACAATTATATTATATTGGAAGAAGAAACGAAGGACATGATATAAAGAGTCAATTCGGAAAATCTAATAACATCTTATTGTCTTATGGGTTGTTTTGAAATTGCTCGGCCTGGGTCAGCCTCATTGTAAATCTCGTCTTCGACATATTTGATTCCTTCCAGCTCTTCATCGCCTAGCTGCCCGTCGTGTCATCCGGTTATCTCAGGAATATTTTCGAAGGACTGTCCAATACATTTGCCAGAGACGATCAGTCTATTTCACAAGAGACATTTCGCAATATTTGAGATTGCCTTCGCAGAAAAGTGTGATTGAGGTGTCATTCGATTCGTTATTCCACCCAAAGTATTTTATGATTTGAGCTAAGTTGCGTATGCAGATAATTTAAAAGTTACAGTCCATTCAAAAAAGGGGCTCGCTTTATGCGAATATCTCAAAAACTATCGCTGATATTGAAAGTGTAAAAAATTCACTGAAGAAGTTCTACCTCCCGCAATTGTAGGACCAACATTTATTATTTCAATTGAGCGGTGAAAATATGTGCACCCGACACTTAATTTGGGCGCTTCAAGAAAACATTTTAACCCATTAAATATGAAAAATAAGATGAAAAAAATCGGTACTAGGTGGATAGTTGAATGGATAATAATCCGCCGATAGAAAATGTTAACGCAAATTCCTTCTTGATGAAACAAAATGTGAAGAAATGAAAGACAAATCATTTAATTTTTTTTTATTCTGTTTGTTTTATCTTGTGTTGATGAATATATAATTTTTATTTTTATTGTTGAAAAAATTATACTGAAGAAATGCATTGGGTACTCATGAAAAAAGTAAAAACATGTTTGAAGTTGTATTATTGCAAATATCTAATAATATTCAAGAAAACAGGTGTTTAACAAAATGGATTAGTGCATAATAACGAAGTCGTTTTTATAGACTATTAAATGTTGACCGAAAATGCTATATTGAGAAACCATTTTTTTGTAAATATTTTTTTCTGCTTTCAAATTCTTTTAAAAAATTAATAAAATAAATTGTTGATTCCGTTTTTATGCTCAAAAAAATTTTACGAAGTTTCTTTAAAAATATTTGCATCAGAGATTAGAATTAAAAAATGGTATCATCTCAAAAACAATGCATTTGTTTACAACAATTTTTCAAACAATGAAGATGTAGCTTTTTTTTAAACAAATAACGAATCGGAATATTTGAGAAAATTGTTCAATAATTTATGTTTTCTATAGTAACAATGTGATGGAAATCCATAACGTATTCAAGAACTATTTCTTTATTGTGAGAATATCACTGGGTAGATTACAAATCATAACACGTGTTTCGCTATACAGTAGCTTCCTTAAGCGTTTTCATACTGCTATGAGGAAGCTATAGTATAGCGAAACACGTGTTGCGATTTTGTAAAACTGTTCAGTGAAAATCTCACAATGAAATGTTACTTGATTAATTTTATGAGATAACAATTTTTTTAAAACCTTCAAAGAATAGCTCCAAAATCAAAAAATCCAGAGGCTTCAATTTTGAAAATCATCAAGATTTTATGTATACATCTTCAATATGAAAAAAATTGTCAGTTAACAGAAGCATAACAAGGAGGAAAAACATTTTTCTAACTTATTCAACCCATATTCAATGGGTTAAATACTATTTTCTGTTGAAGCGTACCAATTGGTCATAGCGATCCTGAGCTTCACATCTCTCGGTAAATTTGCAGTATCCACCTAAGATCATCAACAACAAATACACAAAACTCGTACTTCTACGATAAACTCGCAAAACTACTTCAATGATGACATTCGTTCTCTTTGAAATCCTCCGTGGAATGAGACCAGTTAGCATATATCCAATTTTGACAGGCATCTAGGGAGGCAGCGCTCAGCGTTTCGTAGCTTCCTGGGCGAATATGGATACTGTACTCTTCTCACGGATAGTGTATAGAGAAACTCATTTTACTTGAAAATAAGATGAGGGGAAGCTACTAACAAACATCGTGCCGATTCTTTTGGAAGTAGAGTTGAGAACAAATCATTTTTCGAGTAACTAATTCGGAGCATCCAGGGAATCCATTATTCACGTGATGTTTTTAGCTACTTTTAACCCCGGTGGAACGTGGTAAAAGTTTAGATTACCTCTTCTCATACCCAAAAATCATGAGTATTTTTGGGTACAAATCTTCTGAATATAATTTTTTTTTATTCTGGAAAATTAACCACCCCGCGCCAAAAACTTACACTTTCTTGACGACAGAAAAAATATAACCGTTTAAATATGATTAATAGGGAAAAATTTTGGGTATTATCTGGGCAATTACCTTTGAAATTACGACTTTGAAACTCGAAATTTCGATTTTAATCTCGAAATTTCGACTTTAATTTCGAAATTTCGACTTTAATCTCGAAATTTCGACTTTAATCTCGAAATTTCGACTTTAATCTCGAAATTTCGACTTCATTTTCGAAATTTCGACTTTTATCTCGAAGTTTCGAATTTATACTCAAAATTACGACTTTAAATTCGACATTTCAACTTAATGTCAGAATTTCGACTATATTCTCGAATTTCGACTTTAATCTCGAAATTTCGACTTCATTTTCGAAATTTCGACTTTTATCTCGAAGTTTTGAATTTAAACCCGAAATTACGACTTAAAATTCGAAATTTCAATTTAATCTCGAAATTTCGACTTTATCCTCGAAATTTCGACAATAATCTCGAAATGTCGACTTTAAAGTCGAAATCATGACTTTGATCTCGTAATTTCAAAATTACTCAATTTAGAAATTACGACTATGAATTCGAAATTTCGACTTTTATGTCGAAATTTCGAATTTGATCTCGAAATTTTGAGATTTAAGTCCTAATTTCGAAATTACGAGATTGAAGTTGAAATTTCGAGATCAAAGTCGAAATTTCGAGAGGCTGAGAAATGGAGGCTGGACATGGCGGTCTATCTTTTTGCTCTTTCATGATATGGTTATAAAATGAAAAAGTTTGCTTGAAGGAAAGCGAAAAATAACATGGCGTCATTCTAAATCCAATATGGCGGACTCATTTTTTATGCACTCCCATGATATGGGTGTCAAATGAAAGGGTTTGATGAACATAATACGAAATATGAAATGACGTCACGCCGAATCTGAAATGTTTATCCATCCAAGATGGCGGATTAGTTTATGGATCCACATTATTCCACACAATATGAGGATCGAATGAAAGAATTTGCTGAAGAAAATACAAAAATGAATCTAAATTCAATATGACGGACTTCCATGGCGGATAGTTTGGTTGTGTGCGATCAAATGTTTTGGGACTGACCATGCAACAATGATGTATTACTTGAAATGAACAGACTGAGGAATGTATCCAGCGATAACTAAAAAATGAAAAGAAAATTAGTAAAACGATCAAACTGATCATTTGCATATTCAAGTGCAATAAGTTTGGAACTATATAACTTTAACAAACTCTTTACATATTTCGATTCACTGGCTTAGATATAAAATGTTTTCTTTTATTTCAAGTTGCTTAAAATACCTTCTTCATTTTAGAGGGAATTTCATAGTTTGGCAGTTATTAGCAAAAAGTATTTTTTATAGGTCAAAATGAGCGTTATTATAAGGCTTCAGAATTTGCCGTGGTCAGCTAACGCCCTCGATATTCGTCAGTACTTCAGCGGACTCAGCATACCGGAAGGAGGAGTTCATATCGTAGGAGGAGAGCAGGGGGATGCGTTCATCGCTTTCAGGTAGAACACAAATTATACATTCGATTAGTTTTTTATCATCTTAGAATGAAGGGACAGTTTATACGGAGTTATTCATCACAACAATATCACTACTCCAACACACGATAACTGCAAAATTCTTCTCGACGCGCCTTTCACTAACAAAGCTGGTATCGTCAGAAGATGGACTGGTTGGTGAAACGCGCGTCGAGAAGATTGTTGTAGCCAGTGATTATTTTGGATTAAATCCTTGGCAGAAGTTCCAATTTAACCTTTTAGAACCATTCAGATTCGGGTATCTACGAGTACATGGGGATCTCTTGAACAGTAGAACAGTTGGTTGAATAGTGACAAAATTACTCATTTTTTCATTGTTCATTCAAAGTCTCCTTATATTTCTGATAGTTTCTTTCATGTGATCAAAAATTATTCGGTACTTCTTTCTATTTGAATAAATGAGCATTTGAACTTTTATGTCCCAACCCGTTTCGCACACTTATGTGCCAGGAACAGCAATAAAAAATATGAATATCTATGATGATAATCTTGTGTTGGGATCTTCCTGTAAATGGATTTTGTTTTTCCTGATTTCGATTTCCTGAGGATAGTTGCATATTCGATAATCCAATAAAGAAAAATCTGTCATGTTGTTGTTAGTTTTCAAGATATGAAGAAAAAAATTATGTGTCCATCTAATTTTGCTGGTATTGTTTATTTTGGTGAGTAAATAAGAAATATATGATTAGAATATCCTCGCGTTCTAGATGCATGGTGCTTCATTCATTCATTTATAGTATAATTTTTTTTGGAAATCAGCTATGGTACTTGGAGAGACCCAAGTAGGTACTGCTACTTTTTGAGCGATTATCAGAGCCGTGGTATAAAACAAAAATTTATCTGATAATCATCAAATTGGTAAAATTCTCAGATATATCGAAGAAAATCAAATTCTTCAATATTAAATGAACATTGCTAGATATGTATCCGAGCCGAGTCGAGCTTTGACTTGAGCTCGGCTGAGCTCGACTCCAAAAACCTGAGCTTGGCTCGAAGCACAACTTGACTTTTGAATTCCAGGCTTCGAGCCGAGCTTTCAGCTAAATCGAGCTGAGCCAAGCTCATTCTCTTCCATATTGAAAAAATACTAGAAAGCTGAGTTTTTTCAAAGTCTACTGTCAAGGGGTGAAAAGGGGGACTGAAACTTATTATGGCACATTCGTCATTCTTAACGTTGAAACATAAAATTGGCACTGTACCTCATTGTAAAAACAAAACTATATTTTTATTGGGGATTTTCGAATTTCGGTCTCAAAGGGGACGAGAAGTGGGCTAGACCTTCTCATGGTAGGCCAATCCTGCCACTTCCAACATTAGAAAGACGAAAATCGGTTTAAAATTTCTTGGTTTGATATAAGAGGTCTATTACACGTGTTTTTATCCAATTTTCGAAGCAGTTCTGATATGCACTTTTCAGTATGTCTTTGAGCTCTCCCAGCGATTCGGTTTTTATTTCCTCAATCGTCGCAAAACGTCCTTTCATAGGTCTCTTGGGAACAGAAAATAGTCGCAGAGGGCCAAATCTTGTGAATACGGTGGCTGAGACATGATGACATATGAACATATGTTCAAGACGAGTGTATCAACATAAAAAAATCGCTAATCGAAAGTACTTAGCCCGCGAAATTTGAACATTCACCCCGTTTGTTGAACAACGACAAAATCAGCCAGATCAGTGTAGAAGTATGCAACATATGGAAACCTGGAACCAAGCGGAAAAACAATCCATATTGCCCTGAACCTGGAACCAAAGAGGGTAGAGGTAAAAGCGCCCAAGTGACTTGGTAATCAATGAAAGACTGAGAGACACGGAATATAATAATACATATGCACCATATAGCCATGAAACGTGTAAAGCAATAGTTAACGGTATACCGTATTCAGGAAAGACTTGAAAATTATGATAGTCCTTTTGAGGTGGTCAAAGTTAAAAGAATCAATAGATGAACCAAAATGAATTGAAAAACAAATCATGTACCAGCATCTACTATATTGAAAACTTTTAAAGCAACAATGATACCAAGATATATTGATTTTTGCTATAGGATATATGTAAGAACCCCATATGTACCATCATATATCGAGTGGTCCAACGAAAAATATGCACCTTGCTTTCCTCTTTTTTTTTGTAACTTAACGCAAAAATGATTGGACAGGTCAATTTTGCTTTTGAGGGGGACACATTTTAGATGTATTTTTCTACCTGTGCCTTCAACCCCCTAGCGAGGGTGAGTAACAACCCTAAAATTTTAAATGGAAAGTGGAGTCGAGTGATATATCATTTGAAAGGGCACAACATTCTCTTTTCAATGATACCTAATTTGTTGTATTTACTTGAATAGTTATAAAAAAAGCAAGAACATTTACCCGATATTTTTGGTGTTAATGAAAATGCGGAAAAAAAGGAATTTTTATCACTATTACATTCCTCAATTTCTCTCGTGCGTTTTTTGGTTCAAATAACAACAGCAGATAAGTGTACAAAAAGAATTTAGGCAAACCTTCATTGATTCAGTTCGGTTGCTTTTGAAATTATTTCAACTTTACTGTAAAAATGGTTTATTCCATTCCTGAACGAGTTGAAATTGTTAAACTTTATTATCAACATAATAGTTGTCCTAGACTTACTGCTCGCCTCTTTAATGACAGTCATCCCAGGAAAAATGTGAATGATTCGTACGTTGCCAAGTTAGTTTGTCGATACCGGGTCTGTCGTAATGTGAAACACCAGCCACGGAATCCGATCAGAAATGAAGCAGTGGAAGTCGCTGTTTTGGGACGTGTTGAATTGGATCACACTCAAAGTACCCGTCAGCTTGCTGCAGCCTCAGGTGTCTCCCGTTCGTCCATAATACGGATATAAAAAGCCTATAAATTTCATCCGTACAAAATTAAATTAGTACAGGAACTCAATGAAGATGATCCTGATAGAAGGCTGCAATTTTGTGAACAACTGAGCCAGCTACTAATTGATGATCCTCACCTATCATTCAACACGTGCTTTTCCGATGAGAGTACTTTTTTTTAATGGAGCTGTGAATAGGCATAATTGCCGTTACTGAAATGACAGAAACCCACACTTATTCCAAGAGGTCCATACCCACTACCCTCAAAAAATCAATGTCTGGTGTGGCATATTAGGTAGTCATATCGTAGGGCCACTTTTTATTCCTGGCAATTTAACTGGTGAGGTCTACCTGAACATGCTTGAAGATACAATTGATCCTCTCATAACAGAAATAATTGAAAATGACCAAAATCATAATGATGATCGGCTTGCTTCATTTCCAGCAAGATGGAGCACCTCCTCACTATGTTGCTCCGGTAAGAGAGTTTTTAGATGACCAGTTTCCTGGACGGTGGATTGGAAGGAGAGACCTCATCGAATGGCCTGCCAGGTCACCTGATTTATCGCCTTTAGACTTTTTACTTTGGGGACACTTGAAAATGTTAGGAATAGATTTGAACAAAATCTGTATTATTGTATGGAAGCAAATGGGTCACATTTTCAGCACTTGCTGAAGTAGGATTCTACTAAGTCAATTACACATTTCAAAGTACTGGGTTGTAGTTGTTTTTCTTCATAATACCTACATGTTTGAGTGAAATACAACAAATTAGGTATCATTGGAAAGATAATTTTGTGCCCTTTCAAATGATGTATCACTCGACCCCACTTTCCATTTAAAATTTTAGGGTTTTTACTCACCCTCGCTAGGGGGTTGAAGGCACAGGTAGAAAAATGCATCTAAAATGTGTCCCCCTCAAAAGTAAAATTGACCTGTCCGAGAATTTTTGCGTTAAGTTACAAAAAAAGGAGAAAATCAAGGTGCATACTTTTCGTTGGACCACTCTGTATGTTTCAATTGCTTACTATGTAAAAAACAAATAAGTAAACATCTCGATAATCTCGAATAAAAACAAAGAACGAGGTGAATTATTTGGGAACAATCAGTACATCGAATCTAAAATGGGACAAACATATCGATAACATAATTTACAGAGCAAATAACGGATTAAGCGTCATAAAAAGTTTTTGCAAAACAAAACGTGGTAGGGGGCAGATCCTACAACGATGATGGCTTATAATTGGTTGGTGAGGCACACTTAGAATGGTAGCATCCTTTTTAAACTGTACAAATATATATAAAGGTAAGATCAAATATATATTCATTGACTTAGAATGGGATGCATGAAGTCAACATCTACAAATGCTATATTAGAGAAAGTGGGAGTAATAAACTCAGAATTCAGACGACTATAGTTGGCACATTAATACATAATCAAACGAATAGATTTTAGACCACCTGTCATAGACATTTTGGAAATACGTAATATAATGAACGAATAACAAAATACTCATTGGACAACAAATACCATACTTGGTGGAAGCATACAGGAATTGTATGAATTTTGAAAATATTATATATAAAAATGAGGTGATACCGAGTTTTAGTTTTGAATATGACACATACAAGAAATTGATAAAAAAAATAGTGGACATAAAAATAAGTTTTTGAGTGAAAAATATAAGGATGAATATTCATTGTATTTATAGATACATCTAAACAATATAACAAAGTAGGAATGTACAAGGACTGTATTACGTGTGACATGAATTTGAATTTTGTCTTATCACGTGATCTTGGTAAATAGAGAGAGCAAATATTTCAAATTGAAACGAATTGTGCTCACCTTGAGAATTTCAGCGACTCGTTTTGAATAAAGTAGTTTTTCCGGTTTCAAATCACGGTGGGCAATATCGTTACTCCGAAGATATTTCATTGCAACACTAATATCCTGCATCATTTGGGCAACTTGTCGAGCAATCCCGACCGTTGTTGAGGAACTATCGTATGTGGGGGGTGCGCGATATAGTCACAAATGGAGGCAAGCACCGGTCTGCAAATAGAGGTAAAGACGGAACATCAGGTACGGGGAAAATTAGTAGATTCTTTAGTTCTGTCTTGAATGTATCTATCTGTAAAAAATAATAGTCCCAACAGTTGTTAATAAAACGTTAATTCACGTTTATGAATTGCGTAACTGAACACAACATAATAAAAATGAAATTTTATGTTATTTTTCAGTACCGATGAAGATGCACGTCTAGCTTTTACACGAAACAATGGAAAAATTAAAGAAGTTCAAATCACCCTTATGCTCAGCTCACGTACCGAAATGCAGCGGGTCATTGAGCAAGCTCGCTCCCAGTCTTTTGCAGCATTCTTGCAACCCGCCCCAGCAACGGTGCCTATCCCTGCAGCGGTGCCTATACCCGCAGCGGTACCCGCCGCGGTACCAGCCGTTCTTCCCATTGCTGCAATAGAAGTAAAACGGGAATCCAAAGAGAGTGAGAAGAAAGATACCAGAAGACGTTCGCGATCGAAGTCGAGAGACAGAAGGGACAGATCGAGGGATCGAGACCGTAAGGATAGAAGATATCGTGATAGGAGCCGATCGAGATCAAGAGATCGTAAATCATCCGGCCGTCGTCGTGATAGGAGTCGCAGCCGTGGTCGCTCTAGATCTAGAGACAGGGACCGTCGGAACAAAGATCGAAAACGTTCTGAAGAAAAACCAATTCAGCTACTCCAGAAGGAACCGAAAAAACCTTTGCCTGAAGTGTGGCCCAGTCAAATCAAGCCACTCGAGATTATTCCACCTGCTCCACAGCCGCCCAATATTGTAACTGGATTTTCGGTAACGCTAGATAAAACCAATAGGAAGGTATCGCCAGTGTTGCAATTTCAAGGCAATGGATTTTCCTCGAACAGATTCAACAGCAATGGGAACCGCCCAATTAGAGACACTTGGCCTCCATCTAATCAAAACCCAAATACATTTTCCAATGACAAAAATACTATTGGCAGTTATCAAGACAAGGAGGAATCGTTTCCAAATCGATTTCAAAAAAGCAACTTTCCGATGAGAGGAGGAAATTTTAATCGAATGGAAAATGAACACTATCAATCTGCTATAGCTCTTGAACCTTTCTACGGAGGATATGGCGATATTAGAAGGTTTTTCCAAGGTTTGTTCATTAGTAGCAACGGTATTAAATTTATCAACGATTCAAATGGTAGAAGAACTGGTTTAGTTTATGTGAAGTTTGTAAGTAAAAAGGCTAAAGATGAAGCCCTTACTTTGAATGGGGATAATCTTAATGGAATAACTGTGTCGGTCACTCATATAGATGATGAAGATTTTGAAGAAGCAGTTGATAGATACACACCTATAGCACACGAGAACAACAGCAACGAACCTGTTAAGTTCAAAAATAGAAATATTACCAAGTATTTCAATAATTCGTCTAGTGAACCAGAAACCAAAGATTTCTCATGTTTAATTATAGACGATCTTCCAACATACTGTAAGGAACAAGATATTCTTCGCATGTTTGAGCAACATCCTTTAGTAGCACTACTTCTAACAACAAAACCAAAGGGAGGTTATATTGCCTATGTCAAATGTAGTGATAAGGAAGTAGCGAAAGCAGCCTTTGAAGATAAGTCACATCATATTGTAGGAGGCAAACAAGTTACAGTCAAACCTTGCAAAGATGAACAGTTTGATGAAATTAACAAACAACATGAAGTACCTTTGAGCAGTCCAAAAGTTGAAGATGTTGGCACAGACTGCCTGAGCGTATCTAATTTACCTCAAAAGACAAATGACAAAGATATTGCCGACTTCTTTTCTGATATCGGCGTTATTCCTACAAAAATACATCTCATGAGCAATAATCTCGGATTCACAGGACAAGCATATTGTGAATTTTTGAATACGGAGGAAGCTTCCCGGGCAGCAAAGAAACATAACACTATTTTGGGTAACACACATGTGTCTGTAATTCCAATAAAAAGGAACGAGATGGAGAGTATACTAGGCACCACTTTACCAGCTCCTGAATCAATGACATCTCTACCAAATGCGCCTCTGAAACCTAAAATTGTTGATGAATCTTTTTCACCGACTCAAATTCCAGCAGTAAATAAACTAAATTCTGAGAAATGCACGTTTCCTAGTATGACAAACCCTGGAAGATTTCCATTTCCTAGCAGGAATTTTGAAAATTCTCCCAGACTGCCAAGATTTGGAGCCAGAGGAATGGGAACAAGGCACAGGTTTGGGCCTCCTCACCAGGATAATCAGTTCTCCAACACTCCTCCAGGATGTACAGTTTTTATGAAAAATGTACCTTTCAGGGCGAGCACAAACGATATTTTAGAATTTTTCGAAAATTACCGTAATACAGGTAATGTGAGCCGTCGTTACACTCCGAATAATTTGCCAAGCGATGAGGCGAAAATAACATTCTTTAGTCCCGAAGAAGCTGCAAGAGCAGTTGCAGAGCTCCAGAAAGAGAAAATTTGGGATAGACAAATCTTTTTGAGGCAGGAATAAAAACACTTTGCCATTATGTTGGTATACTTAACAAGAATGCAATAAGTTTTCGAAACTGATTCTTGGATGAATGTGAGTTCTGGGAAAAACTCATTGTTTTCATATGGCTGAAAGCATTGGAAACGAAGATTTTTAAAATGAATTCCTGTTTAAAAAAACATATTTTTTATTTTAAACAATTGTTGAAATTTGTTTACATTTCTTCTTCAGTTTGAAATTACGATATGGTAAATCAAAAGTAGAACTATGATGAACCGATTGTTACTTCGAAGATACAGTGAGATACACTGAAATGAAAAAGTTATCTATTATTTAATATATTATTGAATTTATTACAAAAAGACAGTAATCTAGAAACATTTGAATGAGAAATTCGTTTCAAAATTGGTTTATTTATATTTAATTAATGTACATAATATCAATATTACTACTATATTAGTAGGTAATTTTTGTAAAAAAAATTGCAGATTATTTCATTATATTGACTGATGTTTGAATAAAGTATCTGGTATATATATATGTTCCTAGAGTGTATACATAAACTGATGAAGAAACAGCTACTATGTAGTTCAATAACTGTTGGGAAAATGTTTTCAGCTAGACTCTTACCTTTGGGATTTGAAATAATCATTGACGAGAGTTGATTATTTAATTTTGCATTTTAAGAGTTTTTTGGTATTTTCAATGGGAAAATTGAAGTAAAATTTCATTGATCATGAGTAAAAACAAAAATGATTAGAAATGTTACGGGTTTCATTTTCCATTGCTTGAACAATCCAGATTTAAAAACTAAGAGAATGAGATAAATGAATGAAGAATAGTAGGATCGAGAAGAAATTAAATAATGATCATGAAATTATATGAATTTGTGAAGAAAATAAAGTGAAATCGACAAAAAGGAGATTATTATAAACAATAAGTAAAATTCCAATAGTACCTGAAAATTTTAAATAATAATGGAGAAAGAACAAGAAGATTTCAAACCAAGGGTCTTTGTGATATTTCGATTGCTGGTAGTGATAATCACCAAATGAATACCATTACTCGTTTTTTATGATTGTGTTTCAAGTGTTTGAAAATGTGATCTAATGGAGAGATTGGCTCTCAACGTTTCACCCATTACTGCGACAGACATATTCAGGGGCATCTGGCATTAATGCTTTGCATTGTCTTTGTTGGCAGACACTTTAGCACAACTAATGGATGTAAAGACTTGAAGTATTTTGGATACAATCCATATAAAAAAAGCAATTATTAGGTACCTCTGGGTTGAATTACAACTTGTAAAATCTGTTAATAAAAAAATGCTCATGTCCTATCAGAGATTTTTTTTTAAATTTTGTCTCCGATTACAGCTAGAGAAAAATGCTAGTAATGTTGCTAGCAGTAAAATTATTGACATTATTTTTTTTAATTGTAAAAGAATAATAATTCACATAATATTACGGTAGCACAGCCACCGTAGTAAAACTATTAATAGAACTCAAATGATGAAACTGCTGTTATCAATATTTGTCGAATGATTTACGTAACTCGTTGGATATACAAGAAGTCCATTAGATAAATAGGTATACTTTTAATAGTTCTAATTAAAAAGTACGATTCAGCAACCTGACCTTGACCCATCAAAACCAAACTGGAAGAGGAAATGAAGATTTCAACATAGCGCGCGATGGGAGTGACCCACAGAACTATAACTTTAAGAGTTCTGTATAGTTGAGTTACAGTTCTGTGGTGTAACCTGTCAGCCATTTTGGAAATCGCAGAACATGAATTTCTAGTACCATAAATTGATATTTTCAATCATATTGCTCTTTACTATTCACTGATTTGTGAGAATTTTTCGAACAAGGGCACATGGCTTCGGGAACCTAAAGCATGATCAATTTTGTCAACACTTATTTTTGGGTTCATCTCTTATGAATTCGTATAATGGGTTGAAATGCTCAGAAAAATTGCCACCGTTCTCATGTCGGAGGTCGAGCGTTATTTAGTTGAATATGATTTGCATTTGGCTTTGACGGTTAAATTACACTTGTGTGGACATCTGCATCGTTATCTAGATAGACAATAGAAAAGTCAATAATATTCTATTGTGAGGATTGGAACAACTTTACTTCAGCCATTACAATATACTCTCCATTATTGATGAACTGTTTTCTCCACTAATATACAATAATCAGGAACGGTGCCTATAATATATGAGAAGCGATCTGACTTTTCTTGACCACCTGCAAAAAAAAAGAGAAGAATCAGTTTCTTTTTATGACTTTACAAGCCAAGTTAGAAACGAATTTTCGAAAGCCATCTTTTGGAATCATTATATAGAAGTTAGTCCTTAAAATTTGTCTCAGAATTATCACAGGGATGATCGCACTATTAAATCCATTTTTATTTCCATGAATAAACCTAGGTATCTTTTGGAAACTCACATGTAACAGAATTCTTATACTAATGCAAAACGCAAAAGAAATAAAGTAAAAAACAATTATTAAAGAAATTAGTTGAATAAACGGCGATAGTGCACTGATGAATTCGTCTATTGATATATTCGAAACGATAGCGAGATTCTATTGGTTGAAGTAATTCATCAGAATTTTTTTTTTGGTTATAAGAATTCGGGTTTTGAGGCAACAGCGAACAAAAACCAATAGACCTTAATTCACTTGAAAAAGAGAAGTATTTTTATGTTGTAATGTTGGCTAAACTAGTTATCGAATTCATTACAAACTCTCTTCAATATTGAATTGTTATAAATTAATGTTTTCTAATGTTCAATCTTCAACCAAATAATAAGTTATGTCGTATTGAAACTACGAATGGAAATTCGAAAATAATGGTAGGGTAATATTTTTGTCAAAAAGGTTTGCCAATCATAAAATATCAAATTTCTTCCGTTTTGTCAAGTGGAATCTGTGGAATAGGAAATAGGGTCAATAAATCTCTTTGACACTGACAGTTGAGACAGGATAAAAATAAATAAGAAATCAAGAGAGTTTTTTTAGGATAAAAATATATAAACGATCAAGAGGGATTTTCAAGGATATTTACATCTGCGTATGGCTAGGTAGTCATTTATCTCTATCGGTATAACATATCTTCAAGTTAATATTTGTTATTTTTTTAGAGAAACATTGATAGTTTTCCTATATGATACTGTAATAGGACAAAAAGAGGAAGATGATCCTGCATCAGCTCTTATATATTTTCACCCTACGTGGGTATCAGTTGAGCAAAAGACAGCACTTTGTGGTCAAATAATTGGTACTGCTCAATGTGTTCGAAACTTATTTTGTAGACCTGAAGTAGTATCTCTTCGTAGTGGTAACTTTTTCATAACTGAAAAGGGGAGATATTTGTTTGTGAGTAAAAGTATAGATTATTTTGTATAAACTAATGATTGCTGTATGTATTTATTTCTTGGGTTAGTAATTCTTGCAACAATTAACAAAATTTTCTTTAAACTTCAGTACTTAGCAGGATGATGCTGCATAAAGAAAAAATACAAATGTTGAATCAATTATTTGTATCGTCTTCATCAAGTAGTGATGAAGAAATTAAAATAATAGCTAAAATGTTTGTTGCAAGAATTGTAAAATATCAACACATGATAATAAGTTTCAGTAATGATATAATAAGTTAGGCAGAAGTAAATCACAGGTATAAAACGTTTCAGGTTTTTCAGAATTGACAAAAATTGTAATAAAGAAGAGTAACAATTTTTAAGCTTATTTATTAGTTTATGTACAACATTTTCTATTTAGAAAATGAAGTGGCATTCAACTTTAATGGCCTCACACAAATAGTTTCCATCAACTTGGATTTGTATTACACTCTTAAAGAGAGGTAATGTGGTAAAATATGATAATTTAGGTCACATATACATTTATTACCTAGCTTGTTTATTTTAAGGTCAATTATCATTTTTTATCATTTAATCTGATTTCATATTGAAATTTATGTTTCACTGGGAAGCATTCATACTGAAATTTGAAAGAACTCATGTAGTGTCAAGATATATGTGTAGTATGTTTTATGGATGTTCAGTGCTAGCTCAATGTCACTACAGTACTCAAATTGTTCATATGTCGTATTACTATTTTCAACCAGATTTTTTATACTTCCGTGAATCATCAGAAAATCAGCTATAGATCGAAAAGGGGATCTAATCTAATCTAATCCAATTTGAAAAATGAGTCTGTTCTGCTGGTTAATATTACCACTGCAAAAGCCAGAATATATGTGTTGGATAATTACAGAAAAACAAGAATACAATGTAACGGGTTTTAGAAATCATGCAGAAGATGTATGTCAAGTTATTGTACTTAATCAAGTATTTTCATCAAATATTATATCCCAAGTACACCAAGTTCAGTTGGTAAAAATTTGTGCAGATTTCGAAATTGTGTCAAGGAGATGACTTGAGGGAATGATAATTTAATAAAATTGCCTAGTCTCGGGATTTTATTATACACGAAAATGTTTGCTTGAACGTAAAATTTATAAAATTAGGAAATTGCGTGCCTCTATTCCAAATCCAAATTTTTGGTTTCTTGTGAAATATCTCAAGATTATTGAGTTCTAAAAATTATAATTATTCGTCTGTTGATGTCGACAACCATGTGGGGGACCAGATCCGGAAAAGAGTTAATAAAAAAGAAAGAGACTACTGGGTGAATACACCTTGAAACACATAGGACTAATATGAAATTCCCCTGAATCTCTCACCAAGCAATATACATAATATCCTTTATTTTTTAGGTGGTGGGCACAGATAGAAATTCGGCTAACTCCCAATTGGAGTTCAAAGCTAAAACATTGTTTTCTCTGCTAGAATTCCTTCATGAAGATTTTGAGAAACTTGCAAATAATCTTAAAAGTGAAAGCTTTACGTCCAAACTTTCTAGCATGTTTGATAATTATATAAAGATGTTAGTATATGCTCGCAGTATATTTTCACAAAATTCTTTTTTGATGCTAACAAAGGTAAATATTCTTTATATTCAATGAATATTTCTGAGTTATATATTTTAGAGTTCAAGTAATGTATTTATGGATGCCATTCATGTTCTGGACTCTTGTCAAGAATTAAATTATGTTCTGGGAGGTGCACTAATGTATCACAATAAGTAAGTTTCTGTAATTAATTATGCAAAATTTATTCATTTCATGTATTAATTTATTCATTTGAGCAATATGACAAGTCAAAAGTACAGTGAGTATCAGTACAAAAGATCAAAATAAAACATACATTCAAGTACAAAGAGACATAGAATCAAGGGCGTCGCCAGCTTATGATTACGGGGGAGGCAATGGGGTAATATTATGGAGGTTAAAAAATATGAACGCCTGGTACAGTCGAAAGCATGAAGCATAACATTTTGGAAGTCTTTGCCTCGATGACAATTATAATAAGAACGGTTCTGATATCAATGTATAAAACTTCAAAAGCCCTCGACAGCACAATAACTAAATCAAACTTTTAAACACAGTAATAATTATTTATTTTAACAAAAATAATATTTAATTAAAACATAACTTGCAGGGATTTTTTGCAAAACTTTCAACCACTTTATCAATAAAATTATTTAGGTTTTTATTTATTATAGCTCTGTGTGCACTCATCATGGCCAGACCATTAAGGTGACCTTCTGCCATGGTGCTTCTTATCCATGTTTTCAGTCTTCTGAGACTGCTAAAGGATCGCTCAACTGTACAAGTCGTGCATGGTAAAGCGATCAAAATTTTCAATGCTTTTTCCGTTTCAGGAAAGAAGGAATTTGTTTCTTTTAGGACATCAACAACTGTAAGATTTGTGAGATTAATCCTATCGTGCCACAATTGCTGCCAAAGTTCGATTTCATTCTTTATGTTCGGTAAATCATAAAACTGGGCACACAAGTTTGTTTCAGATTTTCAGTTGTCATCTGCGCCGGGTATAACTTAGATAATGCGAAAGATGGCGTGTTTTCTTCAGCAAAACGTACTTCAAGGGAGGTGATAATGGAATCCAAGTATGTTATTACTGAAGACCTCTTCCAGCATTCTGAAGGGCTTTCTGCAGGATGATTGCTTCTATGACGTTGTTTCCCCCTAATACAACAATTAATACGCGGGGAAGTGAATTTAGATCATTGTTCGTAACAATAACTTCTACTTTAGGTATGCCGCATACAAATTATACAAAACTAACGTGAATGCTGGTGAACGGCTGTCGTGGAAAGTAATGCAATACACACAACACAAACACACCATACCTACCTCCTATCTACATATTTTTATACTGTTTGATGGCAAATCTGATATAGTCTTGATGATAATGGCGGCAATTTTAAAAACGGATGTCAAAATCTTGTTATTCTGAATATTTCAATACTTTCTACAATATACATTAAACCTTGTGAATTTATTTACGTTTTGTCATGCGATGCGGAATTTATTAATAGGTAAGGAAGTCAATTGCTCGCACTTTGGTCGCTTTGTGGCTAGCTACATTTAATCTCTAGGAGGGGCAACGCCCTTGCATAGAATACAATTTACATATGACAAACATACATATTTATATATTGGATAACACTATAATAGAATACTCCACAATATTTTTGTATGAAGTAAGGACAACTCAATAAGAATATTTTTATAGAAAATGAAGAATAAAACTTCCTACGTTTTTATACCACTTGTATTTGTAACTAACGTTACTGAGGTTTTGTCCTATAACGGCATTTCCAAACGAATACAACAAACTTTCTTTGTATTATATTTGTTTGAAAATGTCCTTATAGGATGAAACTGCAGTAACGTGTTGTTTCGGGTTTTTAGTTGAATTTTTTTCTGGAAGTATTGCTGGTGTGTCCGGCATCTTCAGAAATTCTTGTTATTGCTTCCAAGATTGGAGGTACACTGTCAAGCTCTTTTACTAATGTTTTGTAAAGCTGGTGCCTCAAATCTGTTGATCTTCATTGTTTTTTTCTTATGGTTGAAATTGTCATGTTTGTAGATTTCAATTGTTTCACAAATTAACTGGTTGTGAAAGAGCTGATTTGTTCTTACATCTGGTAAGTAAAGGTGATTATTGCTAGTCTGTCAGGTCTCATAATAATCTATACTATTCACTTATCGTTTTTTTTTTTGGTTTATTGTAACCTCATTCACGAATTTGGACTGATCTATTTTTAGAATTATACTAATAGAATGATATTTATTTTCTGGTAAATAGTTTCCATTGGAGTTTATATTAGTAGTCGAATATAATTTTTATGATTTTGTTTTGCAGAACTTGTGTTTGATAGAGGTATTCTATATGAAATATAAAGTAATTAATATAACATATTTCCCCAATTGTAATCAGATACCGAAAATAGAATGAAAACAAGCATAGTTTACTAGAGTCAGTTTTGAGTATTCAGATATTTTCTACACTTAAAGAGGGCACCAATCATCGAATATCATATGGTCAATAAGTTTTATCCGGTTCAATTCATCATCCATAACTAGTCCCAAATATCAATTATTGTCAAGGTCAATTTGATTTTTATTGACGTGTGAATTTTTTGTTTTGTTGGAGGGGCATGTACTTTGTTTTGTTTACGTTAATTTTTCTAAGCCAGTGAGCATATTTCTCTAGATCATTATTTACCGTCTCCTCTAGTATTTCAGCATGTAAACCACTATACCAAACCAGTGTCATCGGAAAATGTATTTTTAATTCGTAATTTGGCGAGTCTTAAACTGAAAACGTGTAAATGCAGGACCTAAGGACCCTGAGGCCTTACACAATTAATTATTTGCATTTTGCTACAGTCACTTTCAATATCAACAATAAAACAGGGATCCATACTGGGACCACTTTTTTTTTAATTTATGCTAACGATCTAAAAAACAGTCCCATAGTACTTCCAGAAATAACTGAATTAGCCTATAAAAAAGTAATTACATGGCCACTAAAAAACATCTACCACTCAACATCAACAAAATAGTGGTAATGAAATATGAATGACAGTCTTAGTATATTTAAATAAAACGATCTGGAGGTTACATCTTGCTCAATAATAAAAATGCTTGGTCTCACTGTAGATCACAAACCTTCATGGAATCCACATATTGATCTACTCTGCGATAAATTGAAAAAAACATTGTTACGCACTAAGATTCATGCGAAATCACTGCAGCAAGGAAGTTTTGCTGAGTGTATACTATGCGACCATCAATTCTCATGTAAGATTCGGTCTGTTTAGAATAAAATATTACTCTTTTTAGCTGCCCGAGCTAAAAAGACAATTTCTGGAAATGGCTGAAATTAAAATTGAAGAAAACAATATCAACAAAAAGACAGACATCTTCAACCTCGGCAAAATTTATTCATTTTTACTAACAAAAAATTGAAAAACCTGAATACATCCTGTAATATTTACATAATATAAATCACCATGATAAACGACATTAAAAAATTAGAAAAAGTATTTAACATTATTCAATGTCAAAAAGTTGTCATTTTCATGTTGAAGACTTCTTTCCAAATTAAATATTCTCACATAGCACAGGTATGTTGTTTTATCCGTCCTTTTTTATATTACAGCCCTCGATAAAGCTAATAAACGTTAGCGAAAGTTCTGGTAGCTAAAAAGAGTAATATTTTATTCTAAACAGACCGAACAGACAGGGCAACAATTGCCCTAATTAAATGCATGTAATAAAAGTTGGGAAGTGTTTTAATATTTCATATTCTTTTCAGGGTAGTTGCTACTCACCTTAGTACCGATCTAATAAACAGGCTCATTCTTATAGATCCTTATAGAAATAAATGTTCTGCGGAAGCAGCTCAAACAACATTTATTATACCTCCAGGTGTCCAACTTTTGGAAGTATACATAAGTGGTGATGAATATTCCAAATTACTGGGATCTTCAAACAGAGCTAGGAATTCTTTTCATCAATTTAATATTGAAGATATCAGAAAGGTTAGTTAAATGTATGCTTTAGTAGAATTGTGTTATGTAAGAAAAGTTATTCAGGAAGTGATAATATTGCACAAAATTTCAGAGTCACTAAAAATAACACAAGATTACAAAATGAAGCAATAATAGCATTGAGTGTGCAATAAATGCAAAGTAATAAAATTTCCATTCGTTTACAGTAACGTCATGAAAATGAGACTATTTGAAAAATAAAAAAAAAAAGAAATAAAACTTCCTTCGTTTTTATACCACTTTTGCCATTTTCAAACTTATACATCATTCAAACTTTTGTTTTGATTATGATTAAAACTGCTGCTATTGAATTTGATGCATAGATGTTCATAACCCAACAACTTTCAATTACCAATGTTTTCAATAATTTTTTTTAATTTGAAAATGTCCTTATAAGACGAAATTGCAGTACCGTTAGTTACAAATACAAGTGGTATAAAAACAGGAAGTTTTATTTCTCATTTTTCATGATGATCTCAAACCATGTAGTAATAGCTACATCCATCAATTTATTTTAAAAAACTGTTGAAACCTGTTTTTTCGTTAACTAGCTGTCTCTCCCTCACAAACGACAGGTCCTAGACGTCAAAATTTGAGCGAATTAAGGCAGATCAGAAGATACAGTCGAATTAGCCTTCACATAGCAGTTGATCACGCTAATCAATCGACTACTGACCGAGATCCCTGGCAAAAAATCCACTTCGATTCTATAATATAATTTATTCTAAATGATAAGACTCAATCCCCGAATATCAAGGTTAAACGAGGCTCCCCAATAAAAGACAAGAATTCAACATCAATATCATGCATATGAATTTATCTGAATGTATAAGTTTAGAATTATATTATATCAAGTAAATTTGTATTTCTTTTTGTGATCTTATGTTTCTGAAATATCTGTAGTGAGTTTTGTTGAAGAAGAGTTCTTTCTTATCACTTCTACGAAAGAAATGTTATTGTCCAGTTTGTTTTAACATGTTCTGAAGGTTTTCCGAAGCTTGTTTGAAATCAGTTATTGAACCATATTCTTGACCTTTACCATGGCTTATGTAGATGTAATAAATGAATGAACAATTTCATGTTTCAGAATATGAAAAAATGTGATGAAGATATTCAAGATACATTCCTCATAACTGCCATGAAAAGAGACCAGTCTTTGATATTTACTGCTGTACCAGAAGATTCGTCTATAACCTCTGAACTTCCATACATTCCCACAACAAAAAAGACTCGACCAAAGTTTCTTAACCTCAAAAGTGTGTTTGGGGGAAATAATATAGAACCGAAATCAAAAGTCACAGCTAGTACTCCTATATGTGGTCAAACTAGTGTCTGTTCTACTCCATTGAAAGATCTCAAAAAATTTGTTTATCAAAATCCATTGAAAATTTGTCATAGTGAAGATGTTGAAAATTCTAGAAATATATTGCACAAGGAACTGAAAAAATTTGATGAATTTGGGAAAAAAATTCCACACTTTAATGTTAACTGTAAATTGTATGATAGAAAAAAGTATTCAAGTTTTTCTAACATGAATGATATTTATAACAGTATTTTTGATAAGAAAAGTATTGACAACTCACATATCTTACCTACAAAAAACCAATTATCGTGCTCGTTCAGAACTATAACTGACCCAACCTTTCCAGTATTCAAAAGGGATGGAACTGTCGTGTCGAAGCTATATTGTGAAGAAAATATACCGGACATATTTAAATTATTTCAGAATGGTTTACAAATTCATGAAAACCATATCAGTGGAGACCATGTGACTGAAATTGACTCCGATGTGAGGTCAAACTCTACTTCAGACAGTATAGATGTTTTAAAGGCAAACATTTCAACAGAGCCCTCCAAAAATCAAAAATATAAAAATCCAACAGAGTCGCCATTGGATGGAGATCCAGAAGCATCTAGCAAATCATCCACTTATTGTCATTATTTTTCTGGGGTACCACAAACTCCTCTCATGTCTAAACTTACCATGGTACCCTGCGAAGAAAATGTTGAAGGTTCTTCTAGTGCATTACATCACCAAAAAAAGCCGGCAGCTGGACATAATCTTCTATCTAACCAAACTTACAGAATAAAAGAGGAAAAAGAAAACACCAGATCGAGGACAAAATCAAGCTTACAAAAGTGTGTTTTGTTCGTATGTGGTCAACGAAATATAGTTCTATCGATGTTGCTTGAAGAAAAAAGTATTAAAGAATACAACATTGTGAAAAGATTGGTATGTAAAATATATTCAACTAGTTGCTTCATTTGTAGTTAAGAGGTAGAATTGGGTCCCTGACAAAATGAATCCATCCAATCTTTTTGTATGTTTTTGAAACTCTTGTTTTTTATAATTAATCATGGATGTCTGACTAAAAGTTAAAGAGCGGTGGTTCACTTTACAAATGTGATACAAAAGTTCGATTTATTGAGTTTATTAATTGATATAACTCATCTTCTGATGAGTAGGCTACGTAGTTATTCAATGGGAAAAAATAATAATTTTTATTTACAATACAAATATGCCAAGTTACGAAATTCACACATAAGTATACAATTTGAACTCAGGAGCAATAAAATAAGATATATTTCTATCAACTCTAAGAATATGGAAATAATGATAACATTGCAAATCCAGAAAACGCCTAAGTTGTTTGTTGAAAATCTGTTCTTTATCGTTATTGGTGAGTTTTATAATTTCTTGTATTTTGTCCAGTTGGACACAATGTTTTTCATTGATGAATCACTATCCTTTTTAACTGATTGAAATTATCTTGTAAAAAGCCAGACATCCTTTCAGTAGTATTCATTTGAGAGTTCCTTTTTTGCCAACGTGTTGTATTTTTGTTTTGGGTTTTACCTTGTTTTTTTTTATTGAGTTAAATTTCAACGGCTTTGACCTTTTCTATGAGTAAGTTGCTCTTGATTTGTAAAAACTTATCATTTTCCATGAGTAGGTCATACTTATCTGGCTTTTCTTGCTAACTACATTATTATTACCTATTCTGCTTGGGATGAATTAGAAATCAATCTGTCTGATCTGTTTTTCCGTTAACCAGCTGTCGCACCCCTACGAACGACAAACCTCAGAAGTCGAAACTTGTGCTAGCTAAGGACTAACGAGGTCTTACCTTTTAACGTGTGATTCCTAACACGGGTTGGATGATAGCAAGTGAAAATCGTACAAAAGGATTGGAACAATGGCTCAACAGGAATATAATAACAAGATATTGAAAAAATTTCCTTCACTAATTTACTGCCAGAAATGGTTTACTAAAAATTTAAAGTGATTTTCGAAAATTTTGTCTTATTATTTGTTCAGTAAATTTTGATTCATCCTTTAAAAAATAAAAAAATATTGGAAGGATCATATTTATTATAATACAAATAAAAACAAAACATGAAGAAAATATTTGAACCACTACCAGATGATATAAAACATAACAAAGACACTATATGCATATAAAAAAGTAAAAAATTAGTTCTTCACATTCGATCAACATATTTATGATTTATTCAATTCATGAAGTTTTTCGTTCAATAATAAACATGTCATTGCCCTAATAATCATTAAAATTAGTACCTATATGAAATTCGGAAAAAATATTTGATGAAAATGTCTTCCCTTTGTTGATATTTATATTGCCTTACTAACAGGATTACACTTCATAACGTTTTTCTAAATGTATTCATATTATATTCTTGAACGAACCATTCATCATTATATTATACTTTTCTTTCATATTCTGATTTTTTTTTCAATTTTACTTCATTTCATTTTTTTTTCTTACAAAAATAAATGTGAAAGTTCATTTTTTTCTAAATTGTTTATTGCATAAACAAAATAAAAATAGTACGCCTGAAGTTCCAATTCTATCTGTTGAATATGGTGCAGTAAAAATGATGATGATGATAAGTAATTTTATATGAATATATTTTTTTCAGTGGGATATTTGTACAGATCGTTTGAATAAGTTGGAGAACGATCTCAGGTACAGCATGGAGTCTTCTAAAAATCTTGAGAATGAACCATACAATTACTTACAACATGATTCTGAACTGCAAACTGTCAAGCGTGGTGGTCCTTGGAGTGGAAACGATTTGGAATCACTGCATTACTTGCATGATGATTTCAACAATAGTGATTACAATTTGACTGAAATTCTAATGAGGTAATAATATCGACTAATCAACCCAAATCGGTTCACACAACTACTCGAAGTAAGAGTTGAGTTTTGTATGTATAAATTAATAATTGTAACACATTGCTACTGCAGCATGACCAACAGTTTACTATTGATCACATCTGCTCATTTCTGAAGTACATTACATGTTTAGATGTTATACAATGATTTTAACCCACAAATGTTGTATTTTTGATCACTTATCAAACCAGTGTCGAATGGTTTTGTTAGTCCCACAATGCATTTTTTAAATTTTTAGCAAAGAATATTTCTGAATTGTTTCATATATTTCAAATTTTTATTCTCATTTTTATCACAACAATTTTGCGTAATAAGAAAGAATTATTTGTGTCATAATTTATGATACTAGATCTGGAATTTTACTGAGTTCACGTCCAACTGTCATTTTTATAAGTTTTTACGATATATTTCCACTGTTTTCAAACATAACACAATGTTTGAATTGGGCTCTCGATGGGTGTATGTTCATTTTACCAAAAATATTTGCTTTCTCCTTATTCTTCAATCACTGATATGTTGAGTAAAAACCTGTCATTCCATTGCTTCAAAAATTTGTCGGTATCAATGTCTGTAGTATGCAGAGGGGTTTAGGTTAGGTTAGATTAGATCCAAAGTGAGTGGGCCTATTCGACCCTCCACCGCAACCCGCAAGGGTTTATTGTGGCTCATGCCTATTCACACTCGACCAAATAAACTCAACTTCTTAACGAAGCCAATTAGTTTGTATGGTGAGTGGTCTTTCAGGACAGATGGTTAGAGTACGGCTCTGCCGAACTCTAAAAACCTGATTCGGTTCCCAGCGGGGCAGGCACAAAGTATATGCTCTGCAGTTTCATCGTCAATTAGGTATTTGGATAGTCAAGGTGTAAGATTCCCACCTTGATACCCATGATAACCTGACGATGCCTTAGATTCAACCGTGCGGGGGTTTTTCGCCTCTGGTTTTAATGAATTATCACTTGAGCACAAACGTTTGTTAACCTGTTCATGGGGGGTTCGTTTCTCCACCTGAGACAGATTCTGCGTACGCCGCTCAAGAATTTGGTGCAAGGCGGTTTTATAAGGTACCCCGCTCTTGAGGAGGCGACTCAGTCGTTTCCTGGCTTTTTTCTTTTAGGTTCAGAGGGGTCTTAGAGCTCTTTTTTGAATAATTGCTTGCGAATATTTCTAAAAATATATAACCAGTGTCTTGAAGGTATTTATTTATTTATTTATTTGACACTTTGGTACATTGAGTAAATGTGCTAAGTCATAAATAAAACACAAAAATAAAACTACAGAAGTTGAACAATACAAAAACAATAAATATGGTTCACGTCCACAAACTTTCACAACATAGAAGTATTATATAAAAATCAAAATGTCATGAAAAAGTGTCGTGCAAGAATTCCTCAAGACTGTAGTAACACTTCTGTAAGAGAAGTTTCTTCACCTCAATTTTAAAAAGTTTATCTGACTCGATTTTCCTAATAGATGCCGGCAAGTTATTATAACAGTTTGTTGTATTAAATAGTGGGGAGCATCTAAAGTGAGCCGTTTTGAGTGAGGGAGTTCTTAACAGTTTCCAATGACGGGTGTCTCTACCATGTATATCCGCATTTGTGACAAATTCAGTTATATTGTTACGAGCAAAAGTGACACACTTCAAGATAAATGAAGAAGGTGCCGTCAATAGGCCCTCTCTTAAGAAAATTGGTCTACAACTATCTTGAAAATCTATATTAAAAATTAGTCTCAGCAATCTTTTCTGAGCAACAAAAACTCGTGGAAATTCCCTTGCACATCCCCAAGAAATGATATTAAAGCTGATGTGAGAATAAGCCATAGAAAAATAGACATTCATCAATCCAAAATTATCTAGAGTGTTTTTCAATTGTTTGATTGAGTAATATGCGGAATTGAGTTTGTTGCAGACCTTCTGAATATGACCGCTCCAGGTCAAATTTTCGTCTAAAGACGTTCCTAAAAACAAGACTTCGCTGGAAGATCGAATACCATTTATTGTGGAAGAGTCACTGCTGAAATTTTTCCTAATAAATGATTTCATTGAAACAGATTTAGATTTATTCAGAATAAGTTTGTTACGTTGACACCAAGCACTGAATTTATCTATTATTTTATTTATTTTGTCTGACAACTCAACTTCGTTTTTGTCGGCCACAGTAATTGCAGTGTCATCCGCAAACATGGTTATGTGACACTCAGAAAAGAATTCAGACAGGTCATTTATGAAATTGAGGAACAACAATGGTCCCAGGACAGAACCTTGAGGCACTCCTAGTTTTACATCTTTGGGACTTGATAAAATTCCATTGCAGCTAACTATTAGACTACGGTTTTCCATATATGATTTCACCCAGTTCAAATATATAATAGGCGGATTTAGTAGCCCCATATCCCTATTCTTTGGCAATATTTTTACAGTATAGTTTCCGAGCAATGAAACCAAGTTTTTTCATCGATTTATAACTGTGAACAAAACTTTGGGTCTATCACTTCACACTCAGGGACTAAAGAAGGTAAAAATCAACTCAGATGAAGTCATGACATCGTTTTTTATGTGCTTGCAATAATTTTAATTGAATAACTTAAGGAGAGGAAAATAATCAAACGATAGTATTATACGAACTTATCGCAGCACTTAATAGACGAAACAAGAAAAATCAGCAATTGAGAAAATTCTTTTTTTATTTATTATAACAATAATCAAAATCAATAAGTAAAAGTAGGAATTGTTTTCTATTCAAGCTGTTTATCGAATTTAATCACCTTGAATTACTTTTTGTTCACTCTCATGAACAGCTTAGCGTTGGTATACTTATCAAGATGAAATTAGACTATGCAGAAAAATAATTTTCTGGAACCACCCTTGAACATTGAGGGTATTGTCTTCGAGTGAATTGAAAAAGTTCCCCAAAATTAAATTGATTTAATTTATTCTTTGAATAAAGGAATAAAAATATTTTTGTGCACGTTTTTAGAAACTCCTAGGTCTACTTCAAGAAGAGTTAAATTAATAGTCCACTTTTTAGTTTTACCATTTCACTGATCTGTGCTTCAAGAAACGTTTTTTCCAGGGGTGCTGACAATATCATTTTTGCGCATCATTCTGGCTCAACGGAGGTTTTTTACAGCGAAACAGCAAACTTCATTGCAGGGTTACCACCCCCTGTAGATCCAATGGGACTGTTGCAATTGAAAGCTAAGAAAAGGCTAGAAAGAGATCATACACTAATACTAATTTGAGTTACGTCCATTAGACTTAGGCATCAAAGAAAACAGTGTAATTATATTTCTTTTTTGTAGACTTTACTTTAGTGAAATATTTATTGTATTTATTGAATAGAATAAAAATGATTTTTGAGTTTATTCTATTTGTTTATGCATTATTTTATCAATTCCTAAAAATTGTCGATTTCGTCAACTTGCCAAAACTATATATGTAGTCAAAAAATTTATAGAAATATTTACAGGAACAATACAATCAAAGTATAAACTGAAATAATCTTTTGCTGATAGCTGCATTGAAAGACAGGTGAGGAATTTCATCGGCTTGGCTTTGCAACTGATTGCTTTGTTCACCTTTGATATTCGAAGATTGAATTCTCTGTTGATCTTATAGATGGCGTCTTCATAAGGAAAGATGTCTATATATATNACTCAAAAAGAAAGGCAAATCACGAACATGCGTTTCTTGCTATTGACCTCATCAATGCGATGCAGCCAAGTGTGAATGGCAACAACTGGTTATGAGAAATTAGAAACATCACATATTTTAATATATATGTGGTAATTTATGAAATGTTATGTACCATCGGTAAAAACATCTTTCAATGTGTAAACTTAGTTCTTGAGCTCTTATATTTGCCCTTTTGGGTTTTCACTTCTCTTCTTCTATATATAATCTGTTTAAATTATTAACCTGTTATACACCTGCTTGCGTATTATGTTTATGCACTTGAACGAATAAAGAATATATATCTATTTATCTATCTATGCACGAAGTCACTAACAGGAGTCAACTGCACATTTGTGCCAGAGAGCTTCGCCTGAAAACGGCTCATGCAAGGAATATAAGTGTTTGCAAGTTCATTTTTGAAACTTGAGAATCAATATAGACAATATAGAGTTTTGTAAGCGCAAATAAATTTTGAACATGTTTTATTCAAAACATGACCAATTTTGTTAAAATATAATTAGTGGAGACAAAACTGTTTTGAGTGCTTATAAATTCACACTGTTTTTTTAATAGGTTCAAATTTTCAACTTAGCGAGATTTGCAGGTAGATTACTGAATTATACTTTTTTTTGAGAGACAATTCACAAGCCAACTGGTAGTTTTCTTGAAAAATCTATTTTTTATGAATTTGTCATATAGCAGGAAAACATGTTTAAGAGATGTGTAATGAAATCGTCAGGGAAAGTCTTCCGTTGATTTTAACATATATGTGTAAAATTTCAAAAGGATCAGGTGGAACACCTTGAAAAAACATTCAAAGTAATACAATCCAGTAGGAATATAAAAATATCCTCATTCAATTAGTTACACTTATTTACAATAAATAGAAATAAAGATGATGTAGATGATAATAAAAAGAATATTTTCCTAGCTGAACTTGAAAAACTCCAGCTTCTTTTCAGTCAATGTGATTAAATAATTTCCATTTTGATTCTGGACACTTCCCAAGTCCAATATGGGCTCATGGGCTGGCACCGAACACACTCTCTGACCAGAGCTAATACTCCACAACCAAACACTTTTACTGGATTCTTGATATGCTGCTACATAGTCCTGTTTATCAGTGACAAAACAAGATTTTGAAAGCAATTTCTGCATTCCACCTCCCTGGAATGTGTGGATTATATTACACTGAATTTCTTCAGAACTTGATTTCTCTAATGTACACAGTGAGTGTCTTGAATATGATATCCTATTATTTGGTCTGGAGGAGATGAGTAACTGTTTCATACTGGCATTGTATTTCATACTGATGAATGGGCCTTCTATAGAGAGAGAATGTCTTTTATAATCATTGCCTGCATTTTCAAATGCCCACAAAGAGTTCAACTTGCAAGAAATGACTCCTCCATTCACCAAATCAGCGGTAGGACTTGAGGGAAGACTAGCTACAGACACAACAGGTGACATGTCACCTGGCACCGATAGTGTAGATAATACAGTGTTCATCACCCGTACATCATATTTCACTACATCTCCAGATTGGGTACCGACATATAACAAATTTTGGTTATTGTTGTCCCAACAACAAGACCAGAGTGGCACAGTATGTGAAGAGGTATGAGAAACAACATTACTAATAGTGTCAACAACTTTGAACGACTTATCCAAAGAGGTGGTGAGAAACCAATTGTTGACAGGATGAAAACATACATCTCTGATTTGCTTGTTATGAAGAGGAATAAAAGCTAATGGTTTATAGCAGGAGGTATTGAACTTTCTGATACCAAACCCTGAAAATAATCCGTTTGGAGATTTAGCAGAAGCGATTATTAAATCTGAAATGGAGCTGGCATCGAAAACACGACTACCATTTTGTCTACAAACTTCTAAAGATTTGTCCATGAATAAATGTGGAGGTTTGGAATAAGTATTAGTTAGGTTATTACTAAAATATTTTGATTCAAGTCTATCATTTTTCAATTCCTCGATCTCCTTCTTCAACTGAGCTATTTCCTGGTTCAGAATGTGCTCTCTACAAACATATTTCGATATATCCATTAAGGCTCTATTTCTCTCTTCTATGGCTAAATCTAACTGCTGTTTCATCAAATCAAGTTCTGCAGTATCAACAGCTACCAATTTTTTAGCATAAATGAATCTCAAGTCATTTTTGCGAACTGAATTTTTACATGTGGGGCACGATTTCTTTGGCTGACTTTCTAGCCAACGGTTTAAACACTTGTAACCAAAAAGGTGACCACACTTTAAAGCACAGATTCGATGTTCTCCAGAATTTGTCCAGCTATCAAGGCAGATGGGGCAGGTATCACCATCATCTTCATACTCATGGTTTTTATCACTGGTTTCTTGACTATGACAATGGTTGCTTTCCTCTGTTAAGTCTGTCAAGGACGGTACTCTTTCATCATTTGAAAACCTATTGATTGGTATGTCCACATAATTATGATCCAAATTTTCAGGCTGAACACTATTAGGTTCTAAATTAATATTCTCAGGTTGAACGTGATTTGGTTCCAAATTAATATTCTCAGGTTGAATGCGATTTGGTTCTAAATTATTTACGGCACGTTCAAGTGAAACTTCGTGATTCGAAAATGGAATAATAACTTCATCATGGTGTTCATCCATTGTTTCTTGAAAATTATGTATCAGGATCTGGTCAGGTTCATCTCCTCCACCTTCATCAGAATCTACATCCATGGCATAACTTCAACTGTAAACAATAATAATAGTATGTATTTTTGAAATAAAGCATTTGTGGTTTTGAAGTATTAAGAAGTATGAAGAAATCTTACTGGTATAGCATAACAATAAATGCTTGATGGTGATGGATTTGATTATTCAATGTCCAATCTAATCTTCAATCTTAGTACTTTTCCATAGTAGTATCAGACTGAAGTAATCTAATCTCATAAATAATAGTAATTTTCAGGTCTATCTGATCAACCAAACATATTCCACACATTTCAAAAACACTTTCTTTTAAACCCTCCACTGCAGTGACGTCATACTATCTATGTTACAGTATTGGTCTATGTCATGTCTATGCAATTTGTGTCTATGCTTGAGTCACAGTATAGCTACAACCAGTAGTGTCACTCTTATCTGCACTTTGATGTTTGTGTCTCATAGTTTTAGAACTACTGCGCATCCATAATTACCCGCGACGAGTGGATCAGCGTTTGACATTTCATACACTGCTCAAATAGTGAGTAATAGATATGAACTGCTCAACAGTAGAACAAATTCAATGGAAAATTAAATGGGTTTTTTGTAGTAATGTATAATATTATCGAGAAGCTAAAGGGACTTGCAACTTCAAACATAGCTCAGAACTGGATGAAATGCAGTATTTTTGCAACTGCATGAATAATATGAATTGTATAAAACCGTGTCGGAGAGTTTCTAACGATGAAAATAAATGATTTGCTTGCCCAACCCAGCCGGTTGTCTTCAGATGCAACAACATTGAAACATACAGTTATGCACGTGGTTATTCTCAACTGAATAAAGAATAATACTTATTGCTTTTTTACAAGTATCACTGCAAGTGTTCTCCTTGAAGAACATTGCACAAATAGATGCCAGATTTCCCTGCAGGTGGTCACCCTATTCGTATCGAAACAAAATTCTGCTAATTGGTTTTAGTTAGGATCCCCTTGTAACTTGATTCCTGTTCACTAAGGAACATTTCAGAAGGATTTTTGAAGTAGAACTTCTTTACGCGCACTTGACTTGGGTAGTAAGCTGACGAATGCCTGAAAAGAGCATTGCGAAAAGTATGATCGGGCCAGGCGAACGGAAGTTGAGAGGGAGGTATGAGTTAGCGAAGATAGGAGAAGAGTTACGTTTCTCATATTACCGTAGGGGCAAGACAGAGAGGTGCGAGCATAAATTTACGGTCGAATAGGCTCTGAAGAATTAGGAGAAAACTATCATACGTTACCACTAATTTTAGCAGAGGATTTCAATGTTAATTTTGCGTCCGGAGATGAACAACTATTGGTAAACTTTCTACGAGATAAATTAGAACTACAAATGCATAATAACCGAAATAAGCCTACCACAAGACATGGAACAAAGTAAAGACACGTCCGAAGAAGCCATTGTATGCGTTTTTATAACACTGTTCAGTGAAAATCTAATAATAAAGTGCCATTTGAATACATGGAACAACAATCGACGCAGGTTTCTCTAGATATCTTACTTATTTTCATTCGAAAACATATGTATCTTATTTCTTATACCATGAGTCTATTGTTTCGGTCTTTCAATCAATCACAGTAATCACTGATGTATCCGATAATGAAAATAATAAATGAAAATAAAAAATCTATTCAAAAATGTTAATTTATCAATGAAAACCCATACTGTGCTCGAGTGTTCTAGCACAGTAGAATGCTAAAGTCTCTTCTCTTCTTTATTGGCCGATGCTTCCTGTTCAGGCGCAATTGGGGAATGCTAAAGTCTTCAGATTTCTACTGCGGTTCTAGTAACCAAGACAAGAACAGAGATATACACAAATTATAGTTCAAAATTCTACCAAACTGAATAGAGAATGTGAAGTATGATGAGTTCAAATATTTAATATTTTTAACGACTCGAGTTGGTAATTATATAGAGCTTATAGAAATGTAACTATTTACGTAGCCGAATAGTATTTGATAAATATGACCTAACAAAGTTACTCTTAGATAATGTTGAAACTCAATAAATTATTGTGAAATTTAAAATGTATTTGCAAGCGGGGGTATCTACTTCCGTTTCATCTAGCTTTCCTCATTCTTTAACTTTTAGCGCTTCATTTAAAATTTACACTTCTGCTACAGTGGCGCCTCCTTAATTTAATGTCTTTGGACGGACACTTTCTGATACACAGAGATGGTTCTCCTTACACCTCTCTCCTTATACCTTTACCCACCATATACACAAATAAAATACAATGGAGGCACAATGCACAATGGAGGTATCCTACTTCGCTATAATTTCGAAAGAAAGAGCAAAGTTTTTAATGATTTTTATCCTTGTTTGCAGGGAAACTAATATAAAATTCTTACTTTCAATGACCCGAATATTAAAATCCCTATATAAATATCAAATCGGCAAGAAATAATCAAAGTGATGAGTTTATGAAGAAACTCAATATTATAATAAAATCTGGTAACGTATGTAATCCAAATGTAATTTTTCAGTCAAACCGTCGTCCAAAATCAAAATATTGTCGCGTCATATTGTTATTATCCGATCCTTTATTTAGCAATAAGCAATAGCAATAAGCAAAAATTAGTATTAAGTGAAATTTTAACATGATACATATTCCATGTTATGGTTCATTATACGGTATTGTTCTGCTGAATTGGTCCGGAAATGAGTGATGTGATGATATACGTGGACTATTAAAAAAATAAGATGATTGTTTAAATTTCGTGAGCTACGTATATTTGATTAGCGATTTTTTTATGTGGGTACAGTCGTCTCGAATATATGTTCACAGTTTCAGCTATTTAGCATGCTTAGTTTGTTGGCAAGAGGCATACGAATTAGAAGTATTTTGCGTGTTCGGCGATTTTCAGCTATCGATAAAAATGGGCTGAAGAATTTGCAACAAATTTTGTTTAAAGAGTGGAATTTCAATTATCTACGTCACCTACACTACTATCACTACACCTTTATCCTACAGATCATTGTCACAACCTAAAATTATCGGCACAAGATTAGACAAGTGATAAGATACAATTCTGAAAATTACCTTTATGAGCAGGTACTCACTTGTAGCTTCTTTTGAGAATATGAAAATCTCTTTGGGTTCAAGAATATTCAACTTCTTTGTCTGCAGCCGTCGGGTACTTTTCTCGGCAACATAAGTTTACTGTTGTTTGATCACTTCATTTTTAACATTTCATTAATAGGTACATATTTTACTTTGGAAAATCTAAACTTTTTGTTTATCATTATAGTCGACTTCAACATCGACTAACAAGATCATAGTAATGAGTGATGATGTTTTAACTTTTTTCGCCTTATCAGCAATATAAACCGAGATCACTAAGCACATAGATTTTTTTACCGTTCTCCATTTCAAAGGCTCTATATTATTTGTCGTAAATTGATCTCGACTTTTCTGACAATGATTTGGAGATTCTTTTGAAAAATTATATAACTTCAGATAAAGTCAAATGTTCAACTATAAGCATACATCTTCAATTTCGCCTCATTTGCTACAACTTTTTGATAAAAGTAATTCTTGGTCTACTGCGCCGAAGGGAAGCAAAGGCCATAAAAAAAGAGAAGAAGAAGTAATTTAAATTCATATTTCTCTTTCACAGTGCCTCTTTCTCTAATGTAATTCGCACGGTATCAAGTAGCAAAGTGAAAGCATGGTCAACTAGTTACAACGGTCTATGCCCCAATGAAAATTGAAAGAAAGACTGTCAAATTTGTAGTGAGAAAATAAAGGAAAAATATTTCTTATGATGAGTTATTTTCATTAAGTTTTAGTTGAGTGTTAGTTCTTCTTCATATTTTTGAATAACTTCAATACTCAGAATGGCAAATATAGCAGCGCAAAGAATTAAAAGGGAATTCAAAGAAGTTGTTAAAAGCGAAGAGGTTAGAATTTGTCTATTATCATCTGAATTAAGCAGTCAGAATTTAGTGATGAATGGTACAATTTTTTTTAGGTAGCAAAGTGTGCTATAAAAGTGGAACTTTTAAGCGATGACTACACGGAACTGAAAGGTGAGATAGCTGGTCCTCCGGATACTCCATATGAAGGAGGAAACTTTGTGTTGGAAATTAAAGTACCTGAAACGTATCCATTCAATCCCCCAAAGGTAATATTCATTAAAATAATATTTATATATTCTTATTCTATATATAAAATTCTTGTGTCACAGTGCGACACTTCCCAGCAAAAGCTCAATCGATTTTCATGAAATTTCATATTTATATTCCGTAGGTCTGAGAATAGGTTTTAAACTATTTTTCATACCCCTAGATGATAAGAGTGCTCCACCCCAAACATTGTTTCAACTTTTTTTCGTAAACATTTTTTGTTTTAAATTTTTTTATGATGTGACATTAAAAATACAGATAAACCCCAATTTTTACCCTTCTATCACCAACCCCTATTTTTCAATAGCCATTTAAGTAATTCAATCATTTTTAACCCTGATAATAGAAATCAGTTATTCCCGCCAGGGAATAACTGATTTCTATTATCAGGGTTATCATTTTTCACTCGGTAAACAGCATGGAGTAGGGATGAGAACTCATTGGATTTGCCAGGCGTTTACCGGTATCATTTTTCACTCGGTAAACAGCATGGAGTAGGGATGAGAACTCATTGGATTTGCCAGGCATGCCACAGCATAGTTTAGAACTAAAGGTTGGATCCCTCTGTAATTTAAATCCACTCTGGCTGTGAAACGGCACGCGATTGTTCATTAAAATAAATTAATGAAATATGTTGTCGAAGCCAGAATTTTGAATGGCAAGTTCCTAGGTGGAAATATATCAATACCACAAATCCGTATTATACCTACAGATGTGTCAATTCATTTCAAATGTGTGTAATTTCCAATTAGATTGGCATTTGCAATGACTATTAATACATCCCAAGGCCAAACAATGTCCGTTTGTGGCTTGCATTTGAGCACACCATTTTTTTCAAACGGAAAATTATATGTGGCTTGCTTTCATGTGGGCAAACCAGTTTGTTTGTGTTAGCTAAACATGGACTAACGAAAAATATTGTACACACTATATCATTAAGAGATTAATATTATTTGTGAGTGTTATATAACACTTGTCACTGACTCGTCTCGTCACTGACTATGTTCTCACTTTGAACTTGTTCAGCTCCAAGAGAACAGTGTTCTCTTGGAGGGAGATGGCAGGAATACTTCCTTTCTGGGACCAATTTCTTTGAAGGTTTGTATCATGTATAAGTGAAGTAATATATTCTGTGAGTAAAATTATTGAAAATGCAGATGCCCCATGAATTCTCATTTTACTTTTTCAAAACTCAAACCAAAAATTTCTATATTATTTGTAGAATTACCACTTCATGTTTTGAAATATTCGATATGAAATTGACATTTTATCCCTATTTCAATAAAATCATATCTCGATCATGAAAATACTAGATTTTGTAATCCATTAGTCACTGAAATTTTCTATGAACACAAACGAACTGTCTTTGTCAGATCTCTTCTTGAACTCATCCCCACAGTTTGGTCCGTTTATTATTGATGTTAGATCGAGATCATCGAAATGCTTCAGAATAAGTTAATCACGTTTATAGCATATAAAAAGGGGCTTATTGTTATGTTGAAATTTTGTTACAATTACCCAGTAAAACGAAAAATCATATTCGACTGCTGTGTTCATTACAAATTTTTTTCAAGTATCACTAATTGTCCTGAAGTAAATTGAAGTAAAGAACTATTGACATGCTCCTCTCTATTATTTTCACTGAACGTACAATGTTGTGCAAATTCCTTGTATTATAGGAATGAACATCTGATTGACACATAAGTGTTTATACACTTCATTTTACATATAAAATATTCTCATAAACAATTTTTGAGTGTCATCATTCTGATATTCTGAAACAAAGGCCTGCGATGTTAATAATGTCTGGCTTTCGCTATGTTACGCACAGCTTCTTTCTGTAATATGAAAACTCTGAAGATGAATGAAACTTGCATTATCCCAGAATAGCAATCCATAAGTCATAAGAAATAAACTTGATGAATCAGATATGTTGTTGGAAAACTTTGGATATCCTGAAATCGTAATCCTAAGGAACCGTCATTTCTACCAATCATCTGATGGTTTCCAAATACTGTCCTAGTAGATATACCCATGGCCAAACATTAATTATTGAACATGAGAGATTTTTGAACTTCAATAATTTAATAAGTATTGATAAACACACCGACTTACTGGTAGAGAAACAGTTTGAATATTCAGTAAATAAGACTATCTTACTGACAGGCAATCGATTTTAATATTAATTATTTCAATAATGAACATCAGTGCTGTTTTAGATTATTTATTTATTTCAACTTGACAATGTATATTAAAATGTATCTTTGTGAGTGAAGACACGCCCAAAGAAGCCATTGTATGGCGAAACAAGTATTGCTTTTTGTAAAACTGTTTAGAGTAAATCTCACAGTAAAGTGTTTTGTGAATATATTTCAAAAGTATGTATGAAGACAATTTGCGACCATTACATGAGTTTCCGGGTTTTGCCTTGATCTATCAATCTCCAGTTTCAACTGCGGCAGTCATCTTCAGTGGCGTGGTTGACGTACTCTTCTTGACGTATTAACAGTTTCAGTTGACCACGCCATTATATGACTCATACGGTGAATAAAAATTAGTCTCTCAAAGCATTAAAAGCAAATTTGTGTTTTTTAAAGTATTGATATTGTATTGTAAATTTTGTTATATTTCAATATGCGGACAAGAATCTGCCTTCTTATTTATTTTCTCAACACATTTTGATATTTTAAATCAATCTTGTAAATATTATTGCTTCACCTTCTTTTGTGATAACTGTTTGCTACCTTGTTTATCAATTTTCCATTGTCAACAAAAATATTTCATATGATGATAAGCATTTCCGATTGAATTGAAAATGATGACTTTTATTTATGTATATGATTATTTTTATTTCTTTGTCAGTTAGATTGTATCACAGACTTCAAGATTTGGATCATAAGTTATAAAAATCTGGTTTTTAAACTGATTTATGTTCACATAAATTAAGGAAAAAAACTGAACCCAGAAAAGAACTCTGCAGAACCATATATTTCAAGTTTTCTCATTCTTGATTTTTAAGTAGTTCTCACTATTTGAGTTAGATTCATTTAGTATGGTTCTATCAATTGGTAAAAAAGTTCCTTCATATTGAATTGTCTTCTAACAGTGATCCATGTTCCACATTGCTGCCAATACTTCACTTCAATGGTTGTGATATTAAAAAAAATTGATATAAATATATATTTGAAAAATATGTATTTATATTTGAAAAAATTAAATATACAACTACTTTCACCGTACTAATGAGGAAGACGAATATTCTTGTTTTTCTCTCATTTTCTGTAATCAAAATCTTGCAATCATGGAAATAATTCATTAGTAACTATAGTCTTCAAGATTTGTTTGAAAAATCTTCATTGAAATAATTCCATTTCTTAATTTTCTAAATTGTTTTCTACATTTTTTTATGTTTTATATAAGTTTCATGAACATGTTTCAATTTGATAGTGCTAATGAAGAAATTCAAGACTTTTCAATGTCTTACAAAGTAGCTTGTATATTTTTTGTATCTGTGAAACATTCTTTTTCCAGTTTACCTTAAAAAGTGAAATGCTCAAGCAACCTATAGAAAATTTTGACCCAAAACTATCTTATGTAAACTGACATTACAATCTTTATTTCAGGTTCGATTCATAACAAGAATATGGCATCCGAATATTTCATCAGTAACGGGAGCTATTTGCTTAGACATATTAAAAGATCAATGGTAAGTTGTTCAAAATACCTTATCTATATTTCTTTCAAGTGGCAATGAAAATTTAATTGTAAAATGTGCGAAAACACTTGGATTTGTATGGACTTTGAAATTCTTCAGTAAAAATAGATGCGAATGATTTTCCACAGGGCCGCTGCAATGACCTTAAGAACAGTTCTTCTTTCGTTGCAAGCTCTTCTATCTGCTGCCGAACCTGATGATCCTCAAGATGCTGTTGTGGCCAGACAATACAAGGACAATTTAGAGATGTTTCAATTAACAGCAAGGCATTGGACGAATGCTTATGCTGGAGGTAAACATATTGATTACTAATTTGGTATTTGGATATTTTTTATCATTTATGTTCAAGTTGTTATATTTGGACACCCTATGGCCAGTTACCATTTGATTGCTGCAGAAATTCACTTCAACAGTCTCTCACTCAACATTCTATAGGCTTTAACTGGGTAATTTATGTTATGCACTGGTATCTGGGGAAGGTCCACAGAGTCTTTGTAATAGAAAAAAAAAACATCAGAATATTTTATTTGGGCTTCAGAGAAATGTGCAGGAACATTTCAGTGATCATATTATATAAACATTCACATCCATTTATTCATATAAATTATTGACATATACCTTATCTAATAATGGAACACTCAAAGAAAACGATGGAGTACCACAAATACGATACCAGAAAGAAAAATCATATACTTAGATCACATGCTAGGGCTTACTTACAGTTGGCACAATGAAAGAATATATATCACTTTATCTGTTTGTGGATTAATAATCAATTTCTGTAAAATTGTCTGAATATAAAAATATTCGTCAACTTGTGAAAACTTTTTATTCACTTGTTTTCAACAAAAAAAAACAATACAGATATAAAAGAAAAGGTCAAATTATAATCCCAAATTACCAACATAAAAGTGACTAGAAAGAAATAAAATAATTGAGTGAATTGAAGTTTTGGTAATCAGTATTACTGGATTTTTCCCTCTCCGTTTCAGATTTGCCGATATGCTTTTTTGGAACAAAAAAATTTTGATAACTTGCTTGATTTGTCTAGTAAATTTTTTTATTTTGACAAGTAGTGAAATGATCCAGTTGTGTTTTTTCACACCATTAGTACTCAGCTTCGTCAAATATCTGGTGAAAAATTGATTTCATCATTCATCGGCAATAAAGAAACTTTGTTTTCTGTGTATTTTCATAAGCTTCTGGTCAACCTTTCTTTTCGGAATATAGAAATAGAAATCTTGATAACATTTATTGATGGATTTCATCATTTCGGACTTCCATTGTCTAATATAATATGAATTGATTTGAAATTCCAAGTTATGTCACGACGTTTCGATTGTTAGTATCCACAATCGTCTTCGGGTGATAACTCGAAGACCATGGAATCCGAACTGATGAAATACACCACAAAACATTGTCAACCACCTTCAAACAAATTTACTGATGGAGTCCAAATGAAGTTGTTCATCATCTCTAGTAATGTCAACCGCATTCAGTTTTGATGGTACTCACTGTCATTGTGAAATTACAGAATTTTCTTGGTTTTCGGAAATTATGTTTGAAACAAAAATCTGATCCGATATAAAACTCTTTGAATCCCTACAAAAATAAGATTTTTGGTCAGATATATACTTTTCTCTGTTTGCTTTTTTGAAATTGGAAATGAACTGCATAATACCCTTGAATGGTCTACTGTAGGCTCAAAAGCCTCTGTGAAATCATCATGTGTATATTTCTTCTCAATTCTGTTGATACACTGCTCGAAAGTTACCCTGAGTTACTTGTCCAACCATGAATGTTGAAAACTTCCCGATGAATATAAATGACATCATAAAGTAATAAACTTTTTTGTTTCCTCCTCTGAATAGCTGTTTCATGATATTCTTCTTGGTATTGTAAAGCAATCCTGTTTTAAATGTATTCGGTGGGAAGGTAGCCGCTTTCATTTCCTATCATCCAACCCGTGCTAGGAATCGCACATTAAAAAGTAAAAGTTCGTTGATCCCAAGCTCACAAATTTTTACTTCTGAGGGTTGTCGTTTGTAGAGGGGCGACAGCTGGTTAACCAAAAAATATATTTTAACAGAACAGACAGATAAAGGGTGATGAAACAGCACCAAAATTTATCACCTGCAGGACAGAAAAAGTTAGTTCAAATTTATGATGCCAGAGGAATCTTTGAAGATGTTGATTATTATCTTTGCGAATTTTGATTTGTGAAACATTTTCTCTCTGCGGAGAATACAATATTTTCTTATCAGAATTGCCATAATATTTTAATAAGAGAGAAACAGAGACTTGAATCTTTTATCAGGAAGTCTTTGAAAAATTTTCTGTTAACTTGCTATAGTATCGACAACTCAGATTTTATTGGACTCGTTATCCCTAGAAACAGCAAAATGTGGAATATATCATATCTTTTTTTTCCACTGTATTGTAGGTTTACTCTTCAGCAATAGTTTTTCTCCATATACTGTTTTACATTATTTCAGTATTTCAAAGACAGTTTTTTAACTATCATACTGGTTGCATGGATTTTTCAGTAAACCACTTTTCCATCTATCTCTGATGTTCTAGTTATCTTCTCCATCATTTCTTCTACTATTTTGTCGTCTTTTGAAAAAATTTTGTCTTCATTCAAAAGGTATGTTTCCAGGCTTAAATATTCCTTGACTTGTTCATGAATAGTTCTTAAGTTATCATCATCTTGTTAAGTTATGAAGAGAACTGGATCAGCAATCTTATTTTTGAAGACTTAAGTTTCCATGAAGAATCCACCTTAATATGGTCTTGGAAAGAGCAGGAGAATTCTTTGGACCTTCAATTACATCCCTTGATACTGTAAAATCAGGTTTTCAGCATTTGGCAGAGTCTCAATATTGCCAGCTAACTTGAAAGATCACTTGCCAAATAAATAAATCAGTCTTGTTAAGAAGTTGGATTTATTTAGTAGAGTTCAAGTAGGTGTGAGCCACAATAAATCCTTGCGGGTTGCAGCTGAAGGCTGAATAGACCCACTCACTTTAGACTTACATACATAACTATCATTTCAGTTTCCTGTTTGTTTTTATGTAATTATACCTGTTGTGTGATCACTGATAAACAACATTCTTCTCTTGAGCTGGAATGTCAAAGATTAAATTGAGATATCCAAATATTAAGAAAATAAATAAACAAGTAAAGAAAAAATATAAAGAACTATGTAGTGAGAGAAATTGACAATTTTGACATTCACCATTTTCTGACTAGTATGTTTAACAAAAGTACAAAAATAAGTTATGCAATTCTTCAGCATTTCCAGAGAGAAAATGTTAAAAGTGGGAATTACAGCATCGTTTTCCTAGAAAAAGTAATTTTCACTTCACTATTTATCTAATTATGTTTGTAATTTTCAGGTCCACATGTAAATAGTGATTGCGATAGCAAGATTAGAAGACTTGTAGATATGGGAATTGATGAGAACGAAGCTAGAGTAGCACTTTCCTCTTTTAATTGGGATTTGGAAAGAGCGACGGAACAACTGTTTTAGTTAGTAATTTCCTTCAAATGAAAAATGCAGTAACTTATTTTTCTTTGTTTGATTGATCTTTTCATTTCCTTTGAAAAATCAAATATTTTTATTCAAGCTGAATCTTATGTACATAATATATAAAATGCATCTGAATACTGTTTTTCATTTTTACGTCATTAAGCGAATCTACTCAATATCGGTTGCAACTAAGGTGTATATTCTGAAGAGAATAATATATTTCATTGGTAGGCTATGCTACAAATATCACTTTTAATAAAATGTAATCATTTCACAATTTTGAAGAAAAATATGGAAATTCATGTTCAATTTTGATGTTGATGAAATTTGATAAAAATATGAAAATTAGACATGAAAGAGTGTTTAGATAACAGACAAGTTCTATGACTAAACATATTGTATTTCAACAGATTTATTTTGTGGTACTGGAGGAATATAACACTAAGGAAATGAGGTCAATATTTGAGATTATTTGAATATGTCATCATAGATTAGTTTCCAAATCAGTAAATCATATTACAGGAGTAATTCGTTGTGATGATGAGCTTATCACAATATTAAATTATGGTGGCAAAACGAAAACGGGTAAGAGTCAACATTTTAGGGAATTGCAGGGATCCATTGTTTGTTTTATAGCCAGGGGCCCTTTTCCGGGATCAATAACTTCTCAAGAAATTGAAATAGGGAAACAGAAAAGCTGTTCACCTTTCAGGATTAACTTTTTTTCAAGAAATAGTGTAAAAAATAGATTTTTCCTCAGTTTTCTGTTCATATAAATATATCTGTGTTTCGTTACTTGTATCGATGTTGTATACGGTTGTTGTATTAGCCTTTTTTTGAGTGTCAAGTCAACTTGTGCAAAATCCATCTGGAACATCTAAATGTGAATGCAGAATCAAATAAAAAAAAAAAGTGTTATACCATGGTATGTCATAAGCCAATCTTCATCAGTTAAGAAGATATGAGGTTATAGATTCGAATTAATTTTTTCTTGCATAGTGTCTGAAAAATATATGTGTAAGTACTAGGTATATGAATACATTTTCATGAAAGCTCTAGTTTGATTATGAAGTATCGCAAAACTTTTATATTTCAATACAATATATGCTTTTGAGAATTTTGCTGAAATTATCTTGTCCTTGGACCAGTATAATGATTCTTCATTGTCATAAAGTACATGATATGCCAGGAAGAAAGAAATGGGCACATAAATAAAAAATTCCACTATCAAAAACATATTGATAATAGGATATTATAAGTATGAGTCAAATGAAAAATAATCAGTGGGAGTAAAATATACATAAAAATTCAAAAAAAACATTGTGAAGCACCTCAGGGACGTTAACAACCAAAAGAATGGAAGTTTTATTTCCTTCGAATGTCCTTTATACCATTGATGATCTTTGTCTGTTGGTAGACACTTATATGCCTTTATAGTCAGTATCAGCCTGAAAATAATTGGATTCACTAGTGGGTATTGCAAGGTTATTTTGCCATCTGATTGTCGTCTTTCTGTCATTAGTATTTGGGTCATAATTGCGAGCAAAAAAGTAGGAATGTCTTTTGACAAACAAGAGATAAAAACTATAATGAGGACATAGTGGATATTCCAGGTTTTCTGAAATTTTTCATGCACGAACATGTGCTTCCAAGTTTTAGCATGTATCATGCCTATTTTATTTTTTGTGTGATGAATATTCTGTTGCACTAAAGGAAGTACCACAACCAATTATTCCATATGTGAAAATTTATTGGACATGTGCCAAGTAGTAAAGCTTCAGGCTGTCGGTTGATATTTAACCCACTAATCAAGCTATTTGTTCACTACATTAATGTGATTTTCTAATTTCAACATGCGTCAAGTGCAACACCTAGAAATTTTATTTTATCTATCATTAGAATAGATTTATGATCTAATTCAGCATGAAGGAATTGATGATACATTTTGCATTTACCAAACATCATCATAGCTGTTTCATTTATATTGGTTTCAAGGAATTCTCCCGATAGCTCAGCATTATTTCCCCCGCAGGTTATTACTGATGTATCATCTACAAAATGGTATACTGCTACAGCATTGACAGTTTTTGGCAAGTTATTGACAAATATTGAAAAATAGATTGCCCCCAATATCGAGCTCTGCAGCACTCCTCTATATTAGTTTTTCTTGAATAATATTTTGATACAGATGGCTCGGTTTGTCAAATAGATAGCAATTAAATCATATATGCATATTTTTCCGATGCCACAGCTTTTTAGTTTTTGTAGTAGTATGTCATGATCTACTAGATTGAACGACTTCGAAATGTCAAAATATAAGCCAACCAGAGTAATCTTATCGATATTTATAATATTTTCAGTAGCATTACATTGCTAGTTTCTTTGAAAATTATTTCCTGAAGCCATACTGATTCGGTGTTAGGATATTATATCGAGTTGAGAAACAGTTGAGTCTATTATAAATAGTTCTGTCCACAGTTTTCGAAGGCGACGGTAGCAGTGAAATTGACCCGAAGTTGGTAATGCGGTTTTAAAACCGTTTTTATATATGGGAACTACTTTCGCAATTTTGAGATATTACTGCTGAGAACTGCTATATCCTCCCTATACATTCATCCCCAAGCTTCTTTTGCTGCATGGATTAAAAATATGTTTTGAGCTCCACAGGATGCAAGTGCAACTGAATTAAGCTTTTAGATTCCCAGGTAATAGCATTCTCTCCATAAATTTAACACTATTTAGAATGAGTGGGACAGTATTGTTATTTGAAGTAGCATTTTAAACATCAATGGTATATTGATATGGGTATATAGTTTTGATCAGCCTCTGATGTTGCCAACTTGCTTGCCTCTCGAGATGTTCTAGTTTCCTAAGATTGCAATTTGGTGAAGTCAAGTTGGCGGTCGGTAGCCAGGCGGTTCGACGTGGGTGCTTTGTTCACTCACTCGAATTGACTGCTGTTCTGGTCAGTGGTTCAAGTCCCACTCCGAACGATCGATTTTCACTTGCTACCCGTGTTAGGAATCACACGTTAAAAGTTAACACCTCATTAATCCTTAGCTCGCACAAGTTTCGACTTCTGAGGGTTGTCGTTCGGAGAGGTGCGACAGCTGGTTAACGGAAAAACAGATTTTTTTAAAATAAAATATTAGTTTGCTTATAATTTTCAGGCAAAATGTATGAATACAAGTTACCAGTCTCCGTGAATTGATTGAAACTTTGAACACTATAGGAAACAAAAGTGCAGCTGGATATACTTGTTGAGGCCATAGAAACATTAGTAGCACTTATCAATTCTTCATTCAAAACTGGCACGTTTTCCTCCTCCCTGAGAACTCAAGTTATTCATATACAAAAATGAGGGGATTTCGATAAACCCTCTAATCCACGAATATCACTGGAGTTTTTTTTACCAACACGAAATCGTTATTTTTAACACCTCTGAGGTGTATATTCATTACTACACCAAAGGTTCCAAACAGTACATCATAAGTACATAAGGAGGTATTGAAAATAACGATTTGGTGTTTGGAAAAAACTCCAGTAATATTCATTACTACACAAGTATAGTTACATTACTAACAAGTATAGTTCGGAATCTCTGGCATGAAACGAGTTATCGAGGACAGATTATCAATGGGTTTTCAACTGACTAAAATGAAATATTTTTTTTAAACTGCGGGTGTTGGTGTATATTTGTCGCTTCATTGATACATAGGTTTTTTTTCAATGACAAGTATTTTTTTCTTACATAGTAATTTCGTTTGGATAACGAAATATAATATTTCATGTAGTAAATTTCATTTTAGGATTCTATTTTATAACTTAAAACACTATCATACTTCTTAGCTTTGCCAAGATTAACTCTTTAGAAAATAAAGCATATTATAACACTTTTGATTTTTCCAATTTCAGTGTATTAACTTCAATATCTTATATTTTGTGGGACTTTCATATAGGCAGTTGGGTATGCCTATAGAATATTGACTTGAGAGTGTTTTGGAGTTTCATTTGAAGAAAAAGATATATTTTGGTAACATATTTTATTAAATTATAAATAATAATTATATCAAGCAAAAAATAAAAATGTAATAAAATACAAGCAACAATTGAAAACTGAACAGTTAACGAGAAATGAAAATATTTCAAGCCAAGTTACTTCACGGCGTTTCGATTGTTAACACAATCGTCTTCGGGTGATGTCAGTCATCACGTTTCAATTGTTAGAATCTACAATCATCTTCGGGTGATGTCAGTCATCCCCGAAGACGATTGTGGATACTAACAATTGAAACGTCGTGAAGCAACTTGGCTTGAAATCTTTTTATTTTAAATTTCACTTCTTGTTAAGTGTTAAATTTTCAATTGTTGCTTGTATTTTATTTTAGTTCATTGTAATTTCAGTTTTTTGCTTGATATAATTATTTTTTTTACTAATCTATTTAATCTTGATTCTTTCATGGATTTCAAATCATTTTATATCATATTAGACAATGGAAGTCCGAACTAATGAAATGCACCATGAAACATTCTCAACCACCTTCAAACATATGTGTGTTGTGTTTGTAGCTAGTTGTGTTATAAATATACTTTCTCTTTTATTTTAGTACAGGGTCTTATTCTGAAATTCAATAAAATTGTTTTGTAGTGTGCACAGCTCGTATTTTCCTGTAATAACTCTACAAAGTAAATTATTCCCAAAGAATCTTGGTCATTAAAATTGTAAAATTTCAACACCTGAACAGAACAGGTTGTTTATTTGCAAACAGATTGATGTGACAGTCAAGCAGTGATAGTAAAACAACCAAGTCAATAGAATCATCTACAAAAACAGAAATATCTTTGAGGTCAATTGTATATTGTCCAGTATTCTCAGGTGATTCAGTCAATAGCTGGTTGGTTAGTGTATTACACTCAGGAAACGACTAATTTTCAAAAAATAGATTTGGCTTGGGAACTCACTCTAAAGATGTGTATCACTCAAACTGTGCTTCGCCTGACCCATGCTAAGAATCTCATTTTTAAAGGTAAGACCTCGTTAATCCTTAGTTTGTACAAGACTCTAGAAGTTGGAATTCATATGGTTAACGAAAAAACCCATTTTAATACCTTGAAATTTTTAACATCAAATAAAAAGTACTGAGAAAAAACTGGTTTATTTGACACAAATTCCAGATTTTTCACACTTCTAGTTTTGAAATGAAAGCACTTCATGTCTTGAAGGGTACATTTTATAAAAAAACTAATAGCTACATTTTCCTTACTTTCATCCTACAGGGCTGTCTCACAAGTAGACAATCAAAAGAGAGAGTCAAATTCTTAATACACTTCAAATATGTGTGTAAATTACACTGAGTGTAATTTAGGCAAGAAGGTTCAACCTTTCAGGCTTATACTTATAGATATTCTTATTTGCGGTCTTAGCCGATTTCAGGCTGATAAAAAAATTAATTTTTGAAAAATCACTTATATATTTTGCTCAAAAAATTCTTCCTATTTCTCATCCCTTATGGGACACCCCATTGTATAATATAACAAAGCCAATATATTCAATAAGGTACATTGCTAAAGAGATATGAAACTGACTCTCCATTGTGAGTTCTCCTTACAGCCTCAGCAAACATCATCGATACATCAATACACTGAAAAAGAAAGAACAGTTAATATCAAATTTTACTGTTTGATGAAACTTTTTTATTTGAGCAGAAGAGGCTTTTGTACATGTGATACAAGATGACTTACCTGAACCTTCGAACAGTCTTTCATATGTCCATCCTGGGGAATAGTGTTTGTGACAACTACCGCTTCAAAACAAGCGTTGTTTATTCGAGATATTGCTGGCCCTGAAAATATTCCGTGGGTCAAAATTGCGTAAACTTTCGTGGCTCCAGCTTCCATAAGCTTCTCTGCAGCATGGCAAATTGTCCCACACGTATCGGCCATGTCGTCCACCAGAATGGCAACTCGGTCTTTGACATCTCCAACCAATACCATTGAAGCTACCTGAGATCAACAAAGAAGTTTATTTTTGGTCATTCAAATTGATAAGAAACTTTTTTAGGAGAGAAAAAGAATCAAGGCATGCACATAACTAATTTTTCCACTGAAAACTGCCCACCTAAAAGTATTACCACACTGATGAACGTACTTTTTCGCAAAACAGATAATAACATAGTATTTCATTAAATATATGATTTTTTCAAATGTCTCTAACATTCTCTTCCATTCTTGGTTCAAATAATTTTTTTTGAGATCAACGAATTTTCACAATTTAAATAACACTTTGTGAGATTCTAACTTGGCAGTTTAAAAAATCGACACATTTTTTCACTACACAATAATTTCTTCAGGCATGTTCTAACTAATTTAATTTCTACAACTTGCTTCATATATATTCTAATGATTCTAACATTAAGATTTTTATTACCTAAGTCATAAATTTCAAATATATACATTTTATAATAGTTTCTGGAAACAAACAAAATTGGACATATATTTAACCCAAAATCTACCCCTGCCTCATAATACCATATTGAAATTTAACCCAACTATAGATTTCATAATCATAAAAACAAATTTAACAATGGAGGATTATTCAGATATATTTGTTTATTGACCAAATGTCAGGTATTCTTAAATTTACTAATTTCCAAGCATTTTAAAAGATTTGAAATTTAATCCTCTTTTCTTCCATTGTAAGATGTCTTAATCATGAATTGACCCATGTCCCTCTGCCAAAAGATAGTTTTCAAACATATCATTTCAGCAAAGGATCTGATTAGGGTTATTCCTATTATCTTGAAACATGGAAAACTAAAACATTAGCAGAAACATCTCAAGGTTCTATTTCAGCCAATTCAATCCAAATTAAGAGATATCTGGAGTTAGTCACACATACTGGCTGTATGTTTATTCAGAGTTCTCTGAATCAGAGGTTCATACCAATAGCTTGTGTCAGCGATTTTTTCATCTCATTGTGCATATGATTTTCATATATAAATTTTGTTCAATAAATTAGAATTATTATTATTATTAGATGTAAACTTTTATTTCTCGGAGATGGCAAAGCTGAAGCTACATCCCTACTGAAAACAACCTGTTTGTTGGACTTTAGTCTCAATCAACTAATGGCGGACAAAGCTTTGCAACTACAATTTTGAATTCGAAAATTTTAAATCAATGTTAGTTTTATAAACTAGATATAGAAATCATTTATTATCACTACAAAAGAATATAGTTATGTATGTTTGAAATTATGATATAAGAAAACGTACAAGAGAGAAAAGTTTTCTTCAATATCATCAAAATTTGTCATAACTCAATTTTTTAAGAGTTTTCATGAATACTCTCTCTTGCATTTTGCTTACCTCATTCGCCTTTCTCCTCTCCTTATGAATCAAGGCAAATTCGACATTCAATCGGTCAGCTATCGATGTTACTCTCTTTGCTCCTCCAGCATCCGGAGACACTATAATACTGTTTCTCCATTCAGCTATGTTTTCTTTAATCCATTTTAAAACGGCAGGCTCAGCGTACAAATTATCAACCGGAATGTCAAAAAATCCTTGAATCTGGGATGCATGCAGGTCCATCGTGATGATGTGATCGGCACCTGCTACTGACAACATGTTCGCCACTAATTTTGCAGAAATTGGAGCGCGACTCTGAAGTGAAGAAGATTTCAAATATAAATTTTTATTCCGTCTACTTATTTCAAGTTCGCTACATATAATTTGACTCCAATTAATGCAAAAAATAAATCTATTACCAAAATTACAACATCCACATGCATTAGATTATTTCCCTTCCAGTTTATAAAATAATGGTACATGATTATTTGCAGTTAAAATATTTTTCTCCAATATCCTCAGGTCGAAGTAGTTGTTTCAGACAATAGAGAAGTAGGAAGCAAACCTACGTGAAAGTTGAAGAGCTTATAGGTGTTGAAACATGTGATTTTTCACATGTAAATACCACCAAAAAGTGAATCTAATAGTAGTGGTTTCAATTTTATATCTCAAAATACTTTTGAACTATCATTGATTACCGATTATGAGAATGCTACGACCATGCTGGAAAATATTCTGGACCAATTACTTGATTTTCTAGTATTTCACGAATAATTCCTGAAATAGATATGAGAAAATGCTCACACAATTTTTTTTTTAAATATTTACTGATATGTACATTTGTTGGAGTGTAGCAATTACACTAAATTTAATAAAGTTCAATTCCATGGATACAACAAATAGGTTCTATATTGATTCTTTTAGTATTTCCGTCGTCAAAATTTTCCAAATCAATCAATAATTTTTTGACAATTTGTCACACCATTTCTAGACTGTGTTTTATGAATAAACTTATGAATCCCCTTTTGAGGCAAACATAATTGGTTGTAATAAAAATCTAGGATATTTATAACGCTCTGAATGTAAAAAAGAAATTTCCAGTTTTTGACCAATATTTCTTGAACCAATACCAACTACCGGAAAACTCTAATTAAGTATTTTGTTCACATTCTTAATATAAACAAAAAAAATGTCCTTTTTCAATATTTACAGATTTCACTTATAACTTTTCTGCAAATGTATTTTTTTTATTGGATTTCTTGAATAATTTTCGAAATATGATTATGAAAAAAAGTTGGAATATTTTTTGTAGTACTTCTTGAGACACACAATATGTTCTCCAAATTCTCCAAAATTTGGTTATCTGCAGAAGTTTTGGAGATATCAATGAAAATAGATATTCAAAATTCATAGGCATTTCCTGTAAGGTAGAGAGAAATTGTTACAAACTTTTTTCCACTCGCAAGTTTTTGAAATAGAATGGAAAAATTACACATCTTAAGAAAACATGAAAAATATTTTTTATTTTTGTTATTTCATTATATTTCAAATAGTATGAAAATTAAGTGGGTGTCTCACAAAGTTTGTGATTAAGTCTCAACCTTTTGAAAAATATAAATTTTTGTCGTAGGATATATTTTAATAGATGCTTTGTTTGAAAAGTATTTTTCTATTACCACTACCACATTGAAATTTAAAATTTCATTTGTATAGGAATTTTGTACTCTGGTCTCGAACTTTCTGATAGCTTATGGTGAAGGTAGCACAACCTTTCTGAATAATAAAATAGTTTTTCAGATCGTGTTACGCCATAATTTCAGAACATAATAAACTTCCTAGAAATTTTTATTCTGGTAGCTTCATGTCAATTTCAAGCTCCTTTGTTATCATCTATACAATTTTTATTCTTCATTCTAATTGATCAAATAAGTAAAAGCTGAAATTTATCCCATTCCCAAGTATCACCCTATGTAATTTTCACCAACCATTAAAAGTTGGCAGATGCAAATCGAAAGCCTTCCTATTTTTTGGAAAATTTAAATTCCAAACTCTTCTCAGATTACTTTGGTAAACCACTGAACAAAAGCAAAAAAAATAACTTCCTAAAAACACTCAAAATATTTTCAAATATACGACCATTTTCATATTTCAATTTTGTTTCTAAAAGAGACAGAAAATACATTCTCACTCAGAGACAATTACCAAAATATTTCAAATTGCAGAGATAAATACATGTTTTACTAAGACTCCAAACAGATAACCTTTGTTTATCTTGAGTTTTGAGGACAGTTCAGATTATTTTTTTTTTGTAACAATGTTCAGCTATTACAGTTACTTGATTACCCAGATAATAAATAAGATTGATGTTACTCAATTCCTTTCAAATAATTATTAGAAGCATTTTTATTGCATCTCATCTCTTGTAAAGATAATCCAACATGACTGAAGGCTTATGGACACAATAGAACAACACAGAGGATCCATTAACTATAGATAATATTTCAATATCAGCTGATGTTAATTCTTTTAATTTATGGAAAACTATAAAAGTAAACAATATTTATCAAAAGGTTCAAATTTAGAACTGTTGCTGATAACTAACTCATGGATAATTTTGAAGGTTATTGGAAACTTTTGCATGAAAAGGATTACCCTGACTTATATTGATCGGATGATGATGATTTTGAAAGATACTACCTCACATGATGTATTATTGTTCAAGGCAACTAGGAATTCTTGGTATTCTTTACAAACTATAAAAAATACTTCTGATGGAATTTTATTTGTCAAAAACATAAAATACGTTTTTAGAAATGGCGTTGAATTAACAGAAAAGGTACATTAATTAATCACGCCATATAGGCATATAAAATTTGACATTGTTTTTTAAGCAAACGTCAATAAAGTCACACAATTCTATTGTTTGACATTTTAGATAACTTCACTGAAGTACAATGGATGAGGTGAAATTAATTCAGTACCTAATAATATTCAAATCATCATAAAAAATGGGTTAGAATTGATTTTGCCTGCTGTTGTTCTCAAATACAAACGAATCTCAAAAGTCAATACTGATGAGAGTTGAGGATTAACCAGACCTTATCTTTTAATATATGATTCCTAGCACGGATCAGAAGATACGCAGTGAACATTCATAAAGGGAATCGATCCAACATTTACAATTGCAGTCGATTCAATGAGTAGAACGAATCACTTATGATAACTAACTTGATACGATGTGTCAAGCAAATTTTAAGTTCTTGATTGCAGTATTTCAAAATTGAGTTATCATGACAATTATCTAAAGGTCTCACACATAACATTTGATGACTTTAAGCCATTTTATAGGTATATATCTACCCATATAGCATACAAAACACGTCCAAATCATAGAATAAGGAATGAAAAATTGTGCATTAGTGATATAATGTATTTTATATGTTTTTCAATAATGAATTTCAAAATCTGAATGAATTTTTCAAAGTGTCAAAATGAAATTGCTGAAAACTCAGAATCTCAATTTAGATTTTTTTTCTATTATATTAATAATGGAAAACTTCTATAGAAAGATAGAATCATATCCATAGATGGTTATTTCAGGTACAAACAGAAGGAAAAATTTCATTTGAAACAACTACTCCTTCTGCAGAAATTAAATTACACTTTTTCCTCCTAGTATCTGTTATGAGCGATTCAACGATTACAAAGATGATGAATTCTTAGTAACAAATGTTCTGCACTTGGTATCCACTGTTTGGAACCTTTGGTGTAGTAATGCATATTACTGGAGTTTTATTCCAAAACCAAACTGTTATTTTTAACACCTCGACACGTGTTTTGATCACCAAGTGATCATCTTCAAAAGGAAGATTAAACCAAAACAGTTTTAGATGATCACTTGGTTATCTAAACGCGTGTCGAGGTGTTGAAAATAACAGTTTGGTGTTAGGATAAAACTCCAGTAAATTTAAATGTTCTGCAAGAGAAAATCGGGAAATCATTGACGTGTAAAGTCAGGACAATTTTTCCTAAAAAGTACCAAACAACATTCACTTTCAATTTCAAACCGATCAAGGTTTTTGAAGAAAGGATTGTTTCCTTAAGCTCTTAACAAGCTGTTAGAGTACTAATATTTCATGAATTTAAATCGGTTCAACCCCTCTTGATGATGATCAGTTTTTAATCAATGCCCTTCCAAATGGTTAATGGTACTTGGAAATTGCTTTAACTCATGAACTAGGAGGGTACTCAGATTAAGAAAGGTGATTCCGATGTTTAATAAAGAGAAAAAATGACAATTTATAAACAAAATGACGTAATGACATGGACAGATAGACACGCTAGAAGGTAACTTGAGGTAGTTGAAAATATTCTGAAACTGATGAAAGGAGAGTTTACCAAGAAGTTGCCGTGAAATTGCTATTAGGTAAAATACAGATTATGAAACAATATTTTGAAAACTATTTTACAAAATATTAGGAATTGATATATTGTGTAAATTTGATGTGAATTAAATAGAAAAAAAAAACCAATGCAAAATTACTAGAATATTGAAAATATCTCTCGTAAAACATTTTACAAAAGTTTTTTATTTATCATAATATATGTTCACTAGGCACGATATATGATCTTTATTTTCCTATTAGTTTAGTTTGTCAGAAAAAATATATTATTTTTCAGCTTTTCTGAATCATTGTCAAAATGATTATGCAAGTGTTCAATGCAGAACCTTATTGAGTGAGGGGCAGGAAGTTACGAAGTAGCTCTTTAACAAATATAAGATGTTTGTTTGAAGGTGATTGACAATGTTTCATGATGAATTTCACTAGTTCGGAATTCCATTGTCTAAGTCTAATATATAAAATAATTTGAAATTCCTGAAACAACAAAAAAAAAGAATTTTACTTGTATTTTATTTCACTATTATTTCATTTCAGGTTTTCTTGCTTAATATAATTGTTACTTACAGTTAATTATTTTTAATTCTTCTTTTTTAGTTGTTTCAGGGATTTCAAATTATTTTATATATTAGACAATGGAAGTTCCAACTAGTGAAATTCAAATATAAGATGTACTACTGAACAGTCTGTCATTATGTTGGGAATAATTATTCAGAAATAAGAGACAAAGGAAAAGAAATCAATACAAAGTTATAGAATACTTAATCAAAAAACACACTCTAATGTGAGATTTCCATTTGAAAGTTTACAAAATCGCAACATGTGTTTCACTATACAATATCATCTTTAGGCGTCACAATATGGTGACTGACGCAATATTCAAGCAACACTTTATTGTGAAATATTCTCCATTATAGAACTGTAATACGTATTTTGCTATAATATGTTTTGGTTTTTTATCAAGTACCGGCACATTCAATCATACAATACAATTAATATAAATAGGCCTTTTGAATCAAGGTTTATTGTTAGTAGGGAAAGCGATAGTTTTAGTGTTTTCAAAAATCCCAAAGCAATAATAAAGATAATCATAGAAACGAAAAAAAAAAAAATCAAAAGTTATATGCACTGTAAAATTTTTCATTACTGATCACAATTAAATATTAAATATAAATATCCCGATGATTAAATTAACTAATTGACATCCAAAAATTATTTATTGTAATAAATATGTCTGAAACATTTATAGCTCATTGTTCCTGATAGCAACAAAAATAACTGCACTTCTTCATTTTCAATGTGTCAATAGTATCGAAATAATTCAAACTCGTAAATGGTCATAGTTAATCTGAAAGTTGATATCACCACATCTTCAATTATGTAACAAATGTTTACACATGCACAAAAAATTGATGCAATGAAAATAAAACAGAGCTAAATAAAAGGTAGGATAATTTCAATCTTTCATCGTCATAGATCTGCTCCAAGTGAATGAATGTTAATATATGAAGTACCCATGTTGGTGGAATATCTAATAATTTGTTGAAGAATGGATTTTATAAATGAATGTGATGCTAAAATGAAATAAATGCCACATAATATGTAGCATGTAAGTGACAATATATCAGTTGTTGATGAAAAACAGTTTGATTTCAGTCTTCACTTGTTCAATTGATGACCTATTTATTTTGAAGAAAGTCATATTGAATAGAGGATATAGAAAATAACTCTTGTCTAATTTCTACCAAGTTTATTAGTTGTTACGACCAGTTTCGGTTTATTAGATAATGTTAGACCAGATACTTGAAAATGGTCTAACAAGCCAAAACCGGTCGTAATAAATAATAAACTTAGTAGAAATAAGGCAAAAGTTTTTCTTTATCCTATAACCTTTACTCAATGTGGAAACCTAATCATACCATACATGTATAACATTCTAATGACACAATCAATAATTACACCATAAAAAACAAAGTAAATAAGATCTCATGGTGCAAGTCTTTTTAGAGACTGTATCAACGATGTGTGGGTGTATGACAGCTGCTTAACTAGTGGGGATAACAAAAAGTCTCAAGTAAAAGTTGTATAGAGTTATGGAAGCTATGTTTCAGAAATAACTATAAATATAATGAGTGTTTAATAAATGTGTGATTCACCAAAGTTGTTTTGTTTCAATGGAACGCCCTATACATTTTGACTCGATTGAGTCAAAAGAGATGCTTTCAAAAATAAAAGGTGGTGCGGAATTTATATGAAACCAAGTTTAAATTTTTCTGTTAACTAGTTTAGTGATCCAAAGAATTTTCTCATATGGAAAATGTGCTACTATCAACAGAAAATGAAAATACATTTTTCTTAATTCCATGTGTTAAATGAACAATTTTTTGTGATAAATCTTACCATAAGTTCCGAACAACCTAGTACAAACCCAAATAACTTGTAAATTTTTAGAAAAAAATTAATCAAGTGAAAATATATAAGGTATTCCATTTGAAGAATCAACTTTGATGAACCACACATTTATTGAACAGCCTGTTTATTGATGGTTATTTTTACAATATCAATCCCCACAATTTTTATTTGAGATTTTTTTCTATCTGTTGAGCTATATACCAGTTAGTAAAAACATATAAAAAATTGAGTGACACTTAAATATTAAGCATTGCCTTCAAAGTTTGGCTTGGTCACATAAATACTATTGTTGTTTCCATTTTTGTTGCATCCTATAAGTAATTGAAGAAAAGAGTCTTGTTATACCCAATGCAACAATATATTCTTCTAATAAATGAATATCAAGACATAAAAGACGACACACCCTCAAAAAGCATACCCCACATTCAGCTATGTAAAAATATTACCCTGAATTTCCATTCAATGGATTTCCACTTTTCCACATGGCGTTCTTTCTCGCTTACATTGTTCTAAAATAATGCAATATTAAAAAATAAAACAGTCTCTGTGCTGTTATTTGTATGGTTGTTATTGGGTTATCAGTAAACTTTATTGAAGGCTTGATTTAAATAAAATGCATCAAAAGTAGCTTTTTTGAAAGAATTAAAGAATATTTAAGTACAAAATCGAAATAGTACTTTGTTCAAACTTTTCATGAGATAGGATTTCCTAAAGGCTATCAGAGTACAACTATATCAGTGAGCATTGCAGTCTGTCACTTCAATTAATTGAATCAAGAGTTATATCTCAAGTGCAACAAGTTTAATCAATTAAAATGTATGCAAATCCTTGAAATAGTATTTTAGTCGAATTACTGTATTACCCAGTATTCGAAGAGAAATAAGACAAGAAAACAATGAAATGCTAACGTGAAAGATTTTCCTTCATTCAGAAGTATTCCAATACCCACTATTTTCAGTATTTTGACTCTGTATGCAAAAAGAAGGGAAAACTGAACTTGGTAAAATATTTTGTATGAAGAATTTTGTTGAAATTCAGATCATAAAATGAAAATAACCGTAGACGATGAAAGATATTTGGTATTTATCCATTAAAAAGCACTGTTCTACGGATTATATCTAATGAAGATTTCAGAGCAGTCTTCAACTCATCTTCGTTTATTACAGAGCAGAAAATTATAAGAATTAATTTCCTCATGTCATACGCACATAATCAAGGACTCCACACTGATCTTAAAGGAAATTGCTTTCAGTTTAAATTTCCTGAAACTCTCCAGAACTTGCATGTTTTCACAGCAAATGCTCGTGTACAAAGATTTATTCAGATATGCATAGGTACCGAACTTGTTGAAAATCAATTCTGATTCTGCCATAGCCATGAGAGGATATGTATGTTCCAAAAAACATTTTCTAACTATTTAATTAGGGTATCAAGAGGATACAATCTGAGAGAAAGTGAAGTTTCTTTATGTAAATTGAAAGGGTATATTTTTAGGAGATTATTTTTGTGAAAAAAAGGTTTTGGCTTTCTACTTCTCCATCTTTTTACAAAAAATGTGGGAATCTTCCAAAGAAAGGAAGGAAGTAATCAATTTTAAAAATTGCATGTAGATATACAAACTAACTCTCAGACATAAACTGGAAAAAACAGCCCTCTCAAAATAGCTATTTTCATATAAACATTGAATTACACAAAACAAAAATAGTTTTGAAACAAATACTTTTATATGAACGCTGAATTATACAAAAAACACTTTTCTCTATTTCGTTTGTATTCCAGACATTCGTATGGAATCAAATTAGATATCATTCACAGGATTCGTACAAAATATAATAAATGAAAAAAGTAAAATTTCACTTATACTGTCATCCTCACTGGTAGACAACCAATGTTTCGCCGAAAGACACTTGCCTTATCGGCTCTTCACCACCAAATACGGATAAAATTATGAAAAAACTCAATTTGTTTTTAAAATGACTTTTTGTCACGAAATGAGTTGAATCCACTCATGTCATCGGTAACAGTATGTAAATGACATTCATTTGCTTATTTGATTCCCACATTTTTTGTATGAAGATGGAGAAGCAGAAAGACAAAACCTTTCTTTCTTCATGTATTCTGAATAGTCTATTTTTTTTAAGACGGAAACGAATTTCCTTTTAAACATCAACATTCCTTATGAAGATTAGAGAAAATTATATTAGGTACATATAAGTTCAACCAAAAAACTTATTATGCTTCACTTATGAGCAATATTTAATAAACTCAAACTAGAAAACTAGTCTCCTTGATGCTCCAACACTAATGTTACCATTCAAAATTATTGTAATAAACAAACTTAAAGCTTTTATAGTGTTATCGAAAACAGAACATGAAAATAAATTGAGAACAGGAACATTTCAATTGTAATACTGATTTAAAATTTAAAAAAATGTTACTGAAGAGTATCTATCAAACACAATTACCTCTCTCCAACACCAGTGTCGAGTATAGTTCAACTATGTTGATCAGATGTGAGTTCAATGGTTTTCTGATGTGTGAAAGCAATGTTAGTGTTAACTAACACTAACATTGCTTTCACTCACATCAAGCCAGAGGTTCCAATTCTACTTTTCAATATGTAAAATATGCGATAAGATATTTATGGAAACCTCAGCATAACACATTCTGATAAATATATTGGTGATTTTTCAAACGTCTACATGATGTTAGGTCTCTTGAAATTATATTTAAAAAAGTGGCATAACAATACGTTTGCATTCGAACATACTTCTGCTGATTAGATTGACGCAGTTTTAGATCATATAAACAGCAACATCAAATATTTTTGAGAAATCAACAAAATCGTAAGGAAAATATGTTTTCAAAACAAATGAAGAAATATGTTAACAAATACAAGTAAATATCTTACATATCATTGTGAAATATTGTTTTGGAAGATTGTTTGTTGCGTAATAATTACCAAATGTTAAAATGCTGACGGATTATATTATTTCTGATAAAATTGAAGATTAAAAATAAACCATAGTAATTACCATAGAAAGATACATTTTTTATTTATACATTTTGATGTTTTATTTTGCTTCCCTATGAACCATAATGTATTTTGTAATTTTCACTTCATTATGAACATCAATATGCAAAGATAATGAAACTAACTGACACCAAAAATTGATCGAAAAAATAATCAGATGTTAAACTAAGTAACTGAACAATCAGAGAAATGAATAGTTGTGATTCATTCAAATAACTGAATCTACTAGTCTTTTAGTCAACGTAAAGTCAAAACGTCAGCAAGAACTATGTGGTTTCTGATGTTTGACATAATCCCAACTAATCTTTTCATCAATGAAATCAGTAAGGTCATAAAATAACACTCAATCAGGTGAGTGAAAGTGGGTTCCTGTGCTCTCCTTAGTGTTGTTCAGGAAACCAGGAAAAATTATTTACAACCTACCTTGTCTTTTTTATCTTGTCGTGCATAAGGGAAACAGGGAATAACAGCTGTAACTCGACTTGCTGACGCTATTTTACAGGCGTTGATCATAATTAACATCTCCATCAAATTGTCATTAACTTCACCACTTCCTGACTGTACGATATACACGTCTTCCCCTCGTACAGATTCCCCGATTTCCACACTAGAATTAAAAAGGGGATATTCCAAACATGCTGATGAACTAGGAGTTCAATACAAACTTTAGCATTGCATGAGAAAACACTTATGAAATTTCATCCAACTAATTATGAAATATAAGTTAAAAGGCATATGCACAAATAAAAAAAATATGATAAACGTTTTGTACAAAATCAATTATTCTATACTCAAGAAGGTTAGCAAAATACGTTGCCATTAAAAATGGATAATGGTGAAAATTTAGAAAATTTTGTCAATTTTTGTACAAAATAACAATGATTTCTGAGTAATCACTTGATAACTTCATTGAAATATTTATTCTAGTTTTTTTTATCATATTGACTTTAGAGTTTACTTGAAAATAATATAATTTTATAATGCATATTGAATACCAACTCTAATGATCTGTTTGTATTACATTATTTGATATTTGTATTTAGTTGCTTTATAGCCAAATAAACTCACTATTATTAATGTTAATAAATAACTCATTACCTAAAATATTCATTGAAAGTTTCTGGATTTCTCCAGAGTGAAATGCATTCTGTATAAGGTAATTATATAGGGTTGCGTAGACAGTGTGGAAACTGCATGTGTTTCCGATTAGTTCATAATATTTATTTTCCTTTTAACATAAAAAGTATAGGAAAGTAAAGTTGTCTAGTTAGTAATTTTGAAGTATACTAAAAATGTTTTGAATGTTTAAATCAGTTTAAATCTTCCTCTTTGAAGATGATCACTTGGTGATCAAAACACGTGTCGAGGTGTTAAAAACAACGATTTGGTGTTGGGAAAAAACTCCAGTAATATTCATTACTACACCAAAGGTTCCAAACAGTGCATCATAAGTAAAAATGTTTTTTAACTATTTTCCATGATTTGAGCCTTTATTTACTGAAAGAAGACAATCAATCCACATCATTCACGTTTGTCAAAGACTAGCTACAACTTCACAGTAAATTTAAAAACTATCAACAATATATACTCGTTTATATATTCATATACTTTTACGAAAAAGTTAGTTGAATGTTAATTCTGAATTAATGCTTGCTTGTACATAGTCACTCATTCTTTCAATTTCATTGTACCTGTTAAACAAGAACATTTTCATGTATACTTGTACGCTTACACATACAAAATTGATACATAAATCAGGACTTGTAAGTTGTCAACTTACAGTAGGAAGTACAATATTAGATAAAAAAATACAAGTCTTCTTATTTTAAATCATCGAACATGCAGGCAATCAAAAATGTGATATCAAGTGAGGTTACGATTCAGTTTTATATATTTCAATTTGCAGTGAAATGTATTTTCATCTATTTTTCTGATAGCAAGAGAAAGTATCATGTTCAGTGTTAATAAACATTACTCTGTTGTTGTTTTTAGGGGTTATTTGCTTGTTAATAGAGTTAAAGACCTCCGGTGTCAATTTAAAACACGTTTTTCAATATATACAAGAACTATTCATTATGCAAGGACCTAGAGTTTTCAGTCAATTTTCTGATGAAAATACATTGATTAAAATATAATTCATGCTACTGCTTACCATGTTTCTAAATTACTGAATTTTTTTGTAACCACTTTGCCCAAATCAATTCCTAGCCTGTCCACTATCCTTTGTGCCAAGTCTGGATGCGATGTTCCACTGAAAACTTTAATGTTAGGCATTCTGCTTTCCAATAATTTATCTTTCGTCGGTTTGGATTGCAGTGGATGACTCTGGTCTTTTTCTGAATCCGAACACGACTTCTTCATATGCACAAATTACATGCGTTTGAAGCGATTTAAGTTGAGGGGATCTTATAACCTTGATGAAATTTCTTGCGGTGTTGCCATTAGCCATGTTGTCATTAATAGTGTTGCATCTCCCGTGCGTTCCACTAAGCACACGCTCACGATCGCAGTTTTTCGAGTGCAATTTTGCAAGCGTTACTGTCGTAAAGTTAAGTGGAATGGATTATGGAACTTTTGTGGGCGTTCATGTAAACATTAAAAATGGCGAGGTTGAAAAAATGAAGTAGAAGTAGTGGTTTGTGTTTTAATGAGGTTACGTAAACCTCAACAATATGTTTCAATAATTGCAAGCTAACTTTATATTTAAAAAGAAGTATAAATTATTAAACAAATTGAGTTTGAATGTAATCAAAATGTCTTATACGACAATTGGAGTTTTGTAGATGCGTCGCAATAGTGCTCCAGAAACTATAGATCATATAGTTTAGATGGAGAGTGGAATGCAACTTTACAAAATTCTAATCTTGAAAACCGAAAACTTAGGCAAAGCATTATCGATTAGGAGAATATATTTCATCGTTATTTAGATGAAGAAATCAAAAGTAATTTCAGGTACATGATTTTCTATCACATATTACACTGTGAATTTTGAAAATGTCATGTCTAATAGCACCCGTGTTAGGAATCACATGTTAAAAGGTAAACTTTTGACTTCTGAGGGTTGTCGTTGGTAGGGATGCGACAGCTGGTTAACGGAAAAAAAGATTTTCAACAGATTTTTCAAACACTTAGATTATACTCGAGTTAAATTTATGCTACTCATAAATTTACTTCATTGAGTGTAAGTAATTATCCAATTGATTACCTTGGAGTGTAATAACGCCCCTCACAAGAGGTAACAGCAGTGACGAACTCTTTCCGCGCCAAGTATCAGCACAATCTCCGACAGAAGTTCACATCTCAAATTGTCCGTTTCATGGTTGTATTTCCCCCGACAATAGGGAGGCCGTGGACTTTTGACTTTAGGTTGTCTACATAACAGAATGGTACTGGATATATACTTTGAAGTTGGAACCCGTTCAGCAAAATGCCCACATGAAAGCTCCAGAGATCACCTCTCTTCTCTGGCAACACAAAAATAAGGCGAAGCATGGGGTCTTCTTTAACAGCATTGAACACCTGGTTTTATCGAAGCAGCTAACTTTCCTTTTTCTCAAGTTGAGGGACTTGACAGGTGTTTCTAACACCTTAGTTGACCATAGTCACGTGATGGGTATAAAGGTTCCTGACACAAGGTGCAAAGTTTACTGTAAGGCGCCTGAGATCCTAATACACTCGTTTTCGGCAGCTTATGCGGTCTGTTTCCATGGACATAACACGGCCCTAAGGGTGACAGAACGCGTTTTTGCTTTCTTTCTGCTTAATTTGTATTGTGTCACCATCTTGTGGCCTCGAACATAAGTTCACTTATTAGTAACATCGAATTACAGTTTCCTGTCATTTGGTTCCTTTTTTATATTTACGTACCCTTCAGTTAGACAACCAACATTTCATTGGTGGCTACTGTTTTTTTGTAGGAAAAATATTTTTCCCAGGTTCAGGTTTTTCTTCTTGACGTGGTCCGACGTTCTTTCGGTTTGAGGATACGATAAATTTCCCAGTTTAGTGCAACACAATTTCGCTGATTTTTCTATTCATTAGTCGAAGTAAATTATTGTTTTAAAATATTTTGCTAAAATACTTAAGAAAAAGATTTTGTCGGTGGTGTCCTGTGCCTGTGATTTATGCTAGGAGGGTAATGATTTATTTTTCTGTCCTAATAAAGATACTTCGTTTTAAAATTATTATTCTCAATGAGGAATTATAACTTTTGTAATTCATTTCAGCCAATAAATTGTATGAAAGATCTTGACTAATATTGAGGGTTCGAATTGAAAAAAAAAAAGAAACTAACTGCGAACACTAATCTCTTCTTGGGCAGCAGCCTCTATGAAAACATAACCTCTCACATATGAAAACTAATCAGTATCATATACTAAAAGCATTGTTCTTTGAAATATATGTCATAAATAAATAGCACCTATAATATTCGTTTTTCTAATGGAATTTTGCGTTGAAAAATATGCGATCATTTAAAGAAATTTTTGTTGAAATACTGATTGTTGATCCAGATAAGACAATATCAATGAAATGACACTACAGAAGAAAACAGAAAACTTTCAAATCACAGTAGGCAATAAAATCGTTGATCATTTATGCGGTTCATCAAAGTTCTATACATTTTTGGAGCCAACATCGAAAGTAATAAGTCTAGCAATTGAGTAGGTATAGAACAAGTAAACATGGAAGGCAATAGTATTTACTTAGCAATTTGAAATCTATGTTCAATGTAAGTTAGCTCTTGAACGTCAAGTACGCTTATTTGTTCCAGTTTCATTGTCATTTGGGTTGACGACTATTTAAACCTGAAATGAATACTTCCATGAAGGTTTTGGGATATTTTAATACCTCGTCATTCGTTTAGTTCCCATTCACTGATAAACAACTATACAAGGATATATTCGAACGCGTTAATTATATTCGAACACATATTCGAATCCCCTAAGGATTCTGTGATCTAAGGGAACGGTGAATTGACCACTTTGGTTCCATGAATGTCTTGCCGCCGGGATTCAAATTTTTTTTGTGCTACTTTTGGTAGCCATTTGCTAATTTTGGAATTTATGTCCAAACTTCTCGATTTTTCGAATTAACAGTTTTATTCTTGGCATTTGGATGCTGGTAAAACATTCAACTCACTTGTTTCTTGCATTCAATTTCTTACGGAGAACAGAATCTTACTAATTTGAATCTTGGCTTCTTGGGGCAAAAGTAAACCTATAGGCCACACGACATCAAAGGTGGGTTGGTCCAGACGTATCGCCCTGGACATCAATTCCAATGAACCCTCTAATATGAATTGTTTCACTTTAGGCCTTCTTTTATCTGAATGCCATTTCCTCGTGTTAGTATTGCTGTAAGACTAGACATTCTTGCATGAATTATAATACAGTAGTATCAGTAGTTAGTAGTTACCCGCTATTGAGCAGATCACAATAGTTGTACCGACAGAACACTGCAAAGAACTTATCAGTGACTAGATTTTTGATGCTATGCTCTCTATTCCCTAGTAGCCACCCTCACGCCAAGTTGTGGAACAACGAGAAATGTTTTACAAATTGACTTAATTAGTCAACGATAAATACAAGGCGTGACATATTGTCAACTCGAATATATCCTACAACGATCGCAATTTGTGGCTCCACTACGGAGTTGAAAAACTTTCTTGTTTCTCAAAAGAGGGTGGGTGATACGTCCTATATTTAGACTTGGTTTTTACGATTCCATCACAAACAAAATTATGTATATGTGTTTCATATTATAAATACGCACTCTTCTATTCCAAAAGCACATAAGTGGGCATCACAAGAATTCCGATTTTCATGTTCATTAGATTTAATCATCAATCTAACTTTTTAAATACCGACATGTATTGCAATACATAGCTGAATTTGTTATTACAGTGGTTATAAAAATCGATGAAAAAAACTAGAGGTCGGTATTTAATAAAAAAATTGATGATGAAATCTAATGGACGAAACGTCGCATTGTGTGTGTGTGTATTTATTTATTTTGAATTTTATGTCCAAACTTTCAAAATTCCAGTAAAAAGAACAAAACCATACAACTTCATTAACACATAGTGGGTAAACAGTGTTTTCAAATGATGTATCAATGCCTAAATAAGTTACCCGAAGATGATTCTAAAATTATTCGAAAGTTTAGTATAAATGTAAAAATAGTACACCTTCGGCTGTTGCTATCCCAAATATTTTATCTCGAATAACAATCCAGTCAGCAAAGAATATTTCTCCTCCTCCTTCAATTAGATATGTATTACCATATACCCTGTGATTTGGTGACCCTAAAAGATTGAATAAAGTATTGTTATTATTAAGTCTATAGAACATACCGAATATTTTAGGGTAGGATGTTATTTTGATAAGATCACATGCTAAATTCACCGTTTTGACTTTGAGCGTAGTTATTGCGGTCGCGTGGGAGTAAATTTACGGAAGCGGTTATGATAAGCTAATTTGAAAATATCCGATAAAATATGCATGGCGTCAAGAAAATAACCACGAATTAGCAAAGAGAGAGACCTGTGTCGAAATATTGGGGACTTTTGATCCCGGAAGTAACTCAAGAGATTTGGAAATAAAAAGGATTGTTTGTGTGACTCTAAATGTGGTCAAAGTTTTTTTAATCAAGCGATAATTGATCAATTATACATACTTTTTAATAGTACCTACACCGTATTTTCATAATGGATTTTGATTGGAAACAAATGAAATAATTAAAAAAACTCTAAATGATCACAATAAAATACGTTATACCTAATAATTATACCTACAATTTTCTCAATAAATTTTATTCATTACGAGTTTCGCTACACGGTAGTAGTCCAACTAACGAAGCTAAAGTTTAGCGAAACGCGTTTTAAATAAAACTTATTGTGAAAATTGTATAATTATTGTTGTAGTGGATTAATTTTTATTAAATAACGGGCCAGTCAATAAATCCTATTGAACAACTTAGTCCATCTTACACGTCAACTACCTTTGCCACCCTTGTACAATAAAAAGTACTTTGTATTGATGAAGAACGGTTAGCAAAACTCGAAACAATTTCGTGAGTTTGGTCACGACCTGAAGTGTTTGCCTAGAAAGAGGTATTCTTTCACTGACATAGAGAAAATACTAATTCAAAATACTACGACTTCTGCACGGCAAATTTCACGGAATAACAATGTAGGTACTCATACCATAGTATAAAGATAAGATCTTTATACTATGGTCATACTACCTGAGACCTGGGCTATTGTCTAATCTTTAGAAAATGCCTGGGTTGAAAGTCTCAGGCCTAACACATAGATGGAGCTAGTCTTATTGCATTCACTACTTTTTCAATTAGTACTAATCGTCAAAGGAAAGCAGTTGAAATTTTATGATATTCTACTCATAAGTTTGTGTGTTATGTGCTGAAACTGACACTATTTTTGTTATTTTCAAA